ATAATCTACTTCGCTAAATTAGGTAATATTTCCCGTGAAATCTACTTCCCCCGAAAGTCGAGATATAATCTACTTTCCCGAAAAGTAGTAATCTATTTGTTCTGGGAAAGTAGATAACCAACTTTCCCGGAAAGTAGATATTTCCCATTTTTATGATACAATTTCCGTTTCTATGATAATCTACTTCGCAAAATTAGGTAATATTTCCGTACCCGAAAATCTACTCTCGAAAAGTCGATAATCTACTTTCCCGAAAAGTAGAAAATTATTGTTTCTGAAAGTAGATAACCAACTTTCCCAGAAAGTAGATATTTCCTATTTTTATGACACAAATTTCTGTTTCTACTATAATCTACTTCTGCAAAAATTAGGTAATATTTCCGTGTTTCGAAAATTTACTTCGAAATAGAGCAATCTACTGTTTTCTGGAAAGTAGATAATCAACTTTCCCGGAAAGTAGATATTTCCCATTTTTTCATGATAAATTTCCGTTTTCTATGATAATTTACTTCGCAAAATTAGGTAATATTTCCGTACCGAAAATCTACTCCCAGGAAAAGTCGATAATCTACTTTCCCAAAAGTAGTAAATTCATTTACTTTTTCGAAAGTAGATAACCAACTTTCCCGGAAAGTAGATATTTCCCTTTTTTATGATACAAATTTCGGTTTTTAGATTATCTACTTGCAAAATTAGGTAATATTTCCTGTACCCGAAAAATCTACTCGAATAGTCGATAATCTACTTTCCCGAAAAGTAGTGTCTATCCACTTTTCGGGAAAGTAGATAACCAACTTTTCCGGAAAGTAGATATTTCCATTTTTATGATACAAATTTCCTGTTTCTATGATTATCTACTTCGCAAAATTAGGTAATATTTCAAAATTCGGAAAATCTACTTCCCTAGAAAAGTCGATAATCTACTTTCCCAAAAGTAGAAATTTATCTACTTTTCGAAAGTAGATAACCAACTTTCCTGGAAAGTAGATATTTCCCATTTTTATGATACAAATTTCCTGCTTTATGATAATCTACTTCGCAAATTACGTAATATTTCAACAAAATTCGAAAATCTACTTCCCCGAAAAGTCGATAATCTACTTTCCCGAAAAGTAGAAAAATCTATCTACTTCGGGAAAGTAGATAACCAACTTTCCGGAAAGTAGATATTTCCCATTTTTTATGATACAAATTTCCGTTTTCTATGATAATCTACGCAAAATTAGGTAATATTTCCATATCTGAAAATCTACTTCCCGAAAGTCGATAATTTCCTTTAGTGAAAATCTATCACTTTTCGGGAAAAGTAGATAACCAACTTTCCCGGAAAGTAGATATTTCCATTTTTATGATACAAATTTCCCGTTTCTATGATAATCTACTTTGCAAAATTAGGTAATATTTCCAAAAATTCGAAAAATCTATCTCCGAAATCGATAATCTACTTTTCCGAAAAGTAGAAAATCTATCTACTTTTCGGGAAAGTAGATAACCAACTTTCCCGGAAAGTAGATATTTCCATTTTTTATGATAAATTTCCCGTTTTCTATGATAATCTACTTCGCAAAATTAGGTAATATTTCCAAATTCGAAAATCTACTTCCCCGAAAAGTCGATAATCTACTTTCCCGAAAAGTAGAAATCTATCGACTTTTGGAAAAGTAGATAACCAACTTCCGGAAAGTAGATATTTCCATTTTTTATGATACAAATTTCCGTTTCTTGATAATCTACTTTGCAAAATTAGTAATATTTCCAAAATCGAAAATCTACTTCCCCGAAAAGTCGATAATCTACTTTCCCGAAAAGTAGAAAATCTATCTACTTTTCGGGAAAGTAGATAACCAACTTTCCGAAAGTAGATATTTCCCATTTTTATGATACAAATTTCCCGTTTTCTATGATTATCTACTTCGCAAAATTAGGTAATATTTTCCCCCAAAATTCGAAAATCTACTTCCCCGAAAAGTCGATAATCTACTTTCCCGAATAGTAGAAAATCTATCTACTTTTCGGGAAAGTAGATAACCAACTTTCCCGGAAAGTAGATATTTCCCATTTTTTATGATACAAATTTCCCGTTTTCTATGATAATCTACTTCGCAAAATTAGGTAATATTTCCCCCAAAATTCGAAAATCTACTTCCCGAAAAGTCGATAATCTACTTTCCCGAAAAGTAGAAAATCTATCTACTTTTCGGGAAAGTAGATAACCAACTTTCCCGGAAAGTAGATATTTCCCATTTTTTATGATACAAATTTCCCGTTTTCTATGATAATCTACTTCGCAAAATTAGGTAATATTTCCCCAAAATTCGAAAATCTACTTCCCTGAAAAGTCGATAATCTACTTTGAAAAGTAGAAAATCTATCTACTTTTCGGGAAAGTAGATAACCAACTTTCCCGGAAAGTAGATATTTCCCATTTTTATGATACAAATTTCCCGTTTTCTATGATAATCTACTTCGCAAAATTAGGAAATATTTCCCCCAAAATTCGAAAATCTACTACCCCGAAAAGTCGATAATCTACTTTCCCGAAAAGTAGAAAATCTATCTACTTTTCGGGAAAGTAGATAACCAACTTTCCCGGAAAGTAGATATTTCCCATTTTTTGATACAAATTTCCCGTTTTCTATGATAATCTACTTCGCAAAATTAGGTAATATTTCCCCCAAAATTCGAAAATCTACTTCCCCGAAAAGTCTATAATCTATTTTACCGAAAAGTAGAAAATCTATCTACTTTTCGGGAAAGTAGATAACCAACTTTCCCAGAAATTAGATATTTCCCATTTTTTATGATACAAATTTCCCATTTTCTATGATAATCTACTTCAGAAAATTAGGTAATATTTCCCCAAGAGTGGCATGGTGTAAATTCTTGCCATGAGAGGGCTCTGCATGTTACTTCGAACTCATTCCCGCCTCTCTCTATGTGTTAACACGTACCACGTGTCTCCGACTTCATTTTTTTTCCCGACTTCGTGTATTACGCAATCATGCCTCTTGTGCTCTCCCTAAGAGTGGCAGCTTGAATTGATGTGGTAAGGCATAATAAGAGTAGTGATGGATCAGCAAAGATTGGTAGAGACTTGAACTTGCCCCTCTTGACTGACTCTACCATCCTCAACACAGGTAAATAAAAGTCTCAATTTATGCTTTACTTTCCTTCTTTAATGCTTAATATGCTTGCTTTATATGTCTGCTTTTTTTTCTTGCTTGACAGTGTGCACGGCAGAAATATATCAAGGATAGATAGGAGTTGGGGGGTGGGTCCCCCAACCTCCCAAATTTGTTACGCATAATTGCTTCGATAACTGTTGATTCACTAACCAACAAATTTTCATTTCCTATATGCTTCACATGTATAAAATTATAAATAGTGATGATTGCTTATTACTACAGTATTATAAATAATTAGACTGATGAATGTAAGTAGCCATCGGATAGTTTCACCGGGTTGAGTCGATTTCAGTATTACTCTTAATTTGGTAAATAAGTTTACAAATAAACTAATTGATTACCATTTGCTTTTAACAAATAAAAATAAGAAATAAAACTCACTTATACAATATACCTTAAAGTAATTAATTAGTTAAGTGTGGTGTCGAATGACGATTGGTTCCCGCGCCTTTGAGCCTAGATGTAGGGCTGAGGCCTGGACAAACAGACAGTGCTGCTTACACAACCAAAGCAAGGATACGACCACCAAGCTATTGTCTTTTATTTATACATTCCAGTTATTGCCTCTATGTAGCAACATTACAGAATGGCAGAAGTGTTCAGAGAATTTTATTAGAGATTCATAATCCCATTCTACAATAAGATATGTATTTGAAAGTACTGTTAGAGAAAAGTGATTTTGTAAGTAAGGAGAGAAGAGGTAAGATTCTATTTTTCAAGTTATCAATGTAAATTATTTGTGTGCATAAAAATTACCACACACCTTCACACTAATTATCAGCCTTAAAATGTGTATTATTTGTGTATGTCCTTTACTATATATTATGTGTGTGTGTGTGTGTATGTGTGTGTGTGTGTTAGGTAATCATTTTTTCCTTTGTATACTTTTCTATCTGTGAACATGTGTGTGAGTCCTTTGGTATTTATACTTGCATACAGTGGTCCCTCGGTTAACAAACACAATTTGTTCCAGAAGGTCATTCATTAACCGAAAATTTCGTTAACTGAAACCATTGTTTCAACGGGATACTGGGTAACTGGTTCCAGCTCACAGAAAAGTATATACGAAGCAAAGCATAAAGTCAGAAACACTCCTAAAATTCCCCTAAATCGCCCTTGAATCACTACTGTATATATATCATACATATACACTAGAACTCTTAAATCACTACTTTAATGTGATACAGGTTTTACTTGAGATTTTTGTTTTTAGCTCATAAAATTCATAGAAATTACCCGGCCAGAATATAATTTACATTGCTGGAATTCTTATAAGATAGTGATTAATTTAAATATAAACAAGCTAAAATTTGCATTAGACATACAAATTTTAGATCTAATTTAAGAATTTTATTAGAGAGAGCAAAAATTTTATCTTTTGTGCAAAATGTATGACGTTTATATTCAAATTATTCGCTGTCTTGCAAGGGATCCACCAATGCCAATTATATTCTCCTAACTTTAGTCTGAGATATTATTTATTATTAAACCTGTATGCCTAGTGCTTTTCCCCAAACGTTTCTCGGGAAGGTGGGAGGTGGGGGGGAGGGAAGGGTGACAGTGACATGTTTGACAGTTGGCGCCTGTGGTGTGAAGTATTTAATTGTTAATTTATGTCCTTTAGATTGAGTTTTTGTTTTTTGCTTATAAAATTTCATAGAAGTGACCAGGGTGAATTTAATTTGCATTGCTGGAATTCTTATAAGATCGTGATTAATTTGAATGTAAACATAGAAGAGATCACTGAATTGGCTGAGTACTTCCTCAGCTTATCAGCTGATGTTCAAAACAAAATGTGATTTTCGTAAGGATTTCGTAAATCAGTTTTTTTTTTTGTTAACCGAATTGAAGATTCTTATGGAAGGTAATTCGTTAACCGAGGCGTTCGTTAACCGAGGGACCACTGTATTTGTCTTATGTGTACAGTATATGTAAGTTTGTGCACCAATCAAACAGAGGAGTACCAACTAAATCCCAAGACAAACTTCTCCCCCCAATGAGGCATTGCAAATTAAAGTTGACTAAAATTCCCTTCAGAATCACAGTAGCTTATACCTTTTCCAAAGCCTTAGGTCAGACACACACATCAAATAAAAACCACCATATAACATCATTGAGTTTAGGAATGGGGTTAAGTTGTTAAGGCCTCACATACCATCTCTCCAACCGTTCACAAACTACATAATTAAGTACAGTCATCCACTGAGCAGTGCCTAAAATATTTAAAAAGTATGGAGGGGTTGGTACATCACTTCCAACAGGCCTGCTCATTCTGCATAGTTAATCTGCAAAATGATGCTTTATAACAGAATCATAAAAGAGTCAATAACTGCACTTGTTAATGTGATGATACAGACCCCTGGCCTTCAGCCATAATTGGTAACTCTCATTAAAGGGAAGGATCAACAAATTTTCAAATTTGTTCAGTCAATCATGTCAGGGTTTTCAACCCATACTCTTGTTTGGTTAAATTTGAGCTGCTTGGGCCAGGTATCAAGTTATAAATACACCTGTACTTGCACATCAGTTAATAGAACAACAAATGATTTCTTATATTCTGTACTTAAAACTAAATGTGAAAAAAAAAAAATCTGCAATACAATGACACTACTTTAATAATAATAGTGTGGGCAATAATACAGTAACAACCTTTATGAATAGAAACTACTTTTATAAATACAATCCTGTGAAAAGATAATTTTGAAAAGAATAAAAAAATTTAATTCTAGTTCGATTTTCTTTTTGCTGAAAATTTTTAAGAGATTAAAAACACTAACTCTACTAAAGGGACTGTATAATTTTTTTTTACTGACTCTGTGAAGATGTTTTTTTTGCACGTACCTGTGCTGTACTGTACTGTACTAAAATTGAAAGTCATTATCAACACTAGACTGCATATACCGATTATAGGCGTAATAAACCTATTTATGTATCATACAGTCAACTATTAAATTATATGATAATTTACAGCGAACATAATCCTGACTAAGACAAATGTACTCTTTAGTACATATCACCTAATTTACAATTTATCCATACATATTCTTTCTCAGTTCCAATTTCTCTCTCATAACCCAATCCAACTTAAAGCATACATCAATACCTTACCTTACAAGGCTAAGAATAAAAATTAGAAATCATACTCGGACACATAAACCAATAGCTTTGCTACGGCTGATCCACCATATTTTCCCTTCTGGTATAACTGCATGTTTAGTGCAAGCTGTATCTCCTGTGGACCAGATATTGGCTTTACAAGAGATATCACTGCCTGATTAAATGAAGTTCGCTTGAGGTAGAAAAACTCTCTGGTGGCAGCTTCAACTCCTACTGGCGCCCTAGAAGACTCCAACTCCAACTCGAATTGCACTGTTGTAGATGACCAGAGTGGCCCCCTCATGGTAAAGAGGTCCACCTGCCCCAATGATGGTAAAGACATGTTGCTGACCAGTGGCAGGAAGTTGTAGGAGTAGCTGAGTGGCTTACGATGACATGCTTCGTCATCTTCAAGGCAGTAGAGCGAGACCTTCTTGCACCGGCTGCAATAAGCATGAGAAATCTGCAGACAACATTTCAGGAGGGCAACAAGAAAACTACTTAAACACACTGTGACTATAAATCTGAATTTTATACCACAGAGATGAATAACTGTAGTTCTTGGGATTTTTACTGTTTAGTTCAACTTGGATTTTGTATTTCAGTCAAGTAGATACAGTGTTCATATTTTTAATATGTATCAGTAAAGATATATTGTAGCCAATTCAAAAAAATTATAAAGAATAGTTGCAGATTTCTCAAAATGTTAGGAGCTATGGCATTAGTTACTGTAATGTAGCTTGGAAAAAACATGCATAACATTGTGATGGCTACAGTATTACTGTATGCCTATATTACTTGCTGACATGCTGTAAAAACAGAAAATATGCTTATAATACTAAAATGTGAGCTAGAGAGAAGTTAATATAAAGGTAAAACAATTAGGAATTGGTCATAAAGATTTGGAAAAAATATTTTTATTAGGTTAGAAAAATTTAAGTTTCTAGAAAATATGGGGCACTTTAAAAATTTAAATGCCCTAAAATGTACACCAAAACCGTTACATATTTATTAGTTTTGATGAACTTTGTCTCATTTTGAGGATAATTTATCATAGAATATACGGTAGGTGTGATTAAGAGGGAAGTACTATGGAATGCCAGGATGGATTTATGCCTGGATGCTCCTGCTTGACACAGTTGCTGAAGGTGATGAATTTATGGTCACAGATCCTGGCGCATGGTGGCAATATACTGACAATGCAGTATTTGATAGCATACCTTATGAAAGGCTAAAAATTAAACTGAAGGAGTACAGAATTCAAAGGAATATCCTGACATGGATTGGAGACTTCCTTGAAGACTGAAAACAGTGTGAGGCGATTAACAGCATGAATTAATTGTGAGTACCCGAGACACATTGTTTATTTCCTTCATGCTATTCACTGTATAGGGAATTTTGATTTACCGCTAGATTTTATGGAACCTAACCCTTCTGTATATTGGGGATGACTGTACATTACAAATATAAACCCTCTATCTTTCCCCCTGGGGAGTCTGAGATGCCTGGTGAGGTTAGAGGCTTGGTGTGAAGTGGCTAGGGTGTCTGCATGTAAACTTGCTCTTTTTGAGATGCAGGTGGCAGGTTAAACTAAATGTTACAGTGTGGTATGAGAACGAGTTGTGAGGTGGTAGATGCATGCTGTGACCTTGTTGTGGGTTCATTTGGCTGGTGTGGCATCAGGATACTGCAGCAGTGCCAACAAACTTGTCCGCTGGGGAGCTTGGTGTGGTAGTCCCTACGGTGACCAACACCTTCCACCAACCCGACCTTGTCCCATTGCTTGGTGACTGAGTCCTAGATAAAGGCATGAGAGCCTATCTGAGTGGCGGGTGGCTGTGTGAGGCGCTGTTTATTATTGTTCAACCTTATGCTTGCTGTGAGCTGCTTAGTGTTACAGTGTCACACTCATCAGCTTAGTCTTGCCACCCTAGTGCAAATGGAAGTGAAATAAAGAATAACCATGTAGTACTGTATCTGGACTGGGGATCAGCCATCTGGACAGTATTGCAGAGTTCCATAAGCCTGCAGTCGAAGCTCTTGTTGTCTAAGTTACCACCCTTACTAGTCTTCATAATAAAATGCTCCACCTATTTGACATAGGCCTCAGCATGACAGTTGATTTGGAGGTAGTGAGGTGATAACACATCATGGTTGATGCAGCACCTCTTGAGAAACCTCCTAACATTCGAGCTTGTGAGCCAAGGTCCCCTATCGGAATGAGGTCTGACAGGGACACCAACCTGAGTAAAGAACCCACGTAGTAGCCAGATGGCAATCTTTGACATCGTGTACCTACCATATTAACTGGCATGTGGTCACCCCAAGAGGCATTCGGAATAGAGCAGGTAATGCCTCCCAGTGTAAGTGAAGAGGTCAGCAGAGACATCCTGCAATGCCAGCAAAATATGGCAAGCATTGCAAGCTTGAACAGTGTTGGTGTTGTCACTCACAATGCCAGGATACCAGACTGTCTGCCTAGCTCTGTGTTTCATCACTTCGATGTCTCTGTGTGAGGATGGGATGATAAGGCAAGCTCTATGGAGAACCAGTTTTCCTGCAATCTCATGCTTCCTGTTCTTGGGAAATCCAGTGTCATCCTGGGATGTGGCTTCACATATCTCCTAGAAGTGATCTCTTGGTGCACCATGCTGTCCAATATATTTTTGGCATCTACTCTCCAGACGAGTGGTATCATGCATGGCATATGCAGGGCAAACAGCTGGGTCTCCTCACGAAGGTGGATACTCATGTGTAGGTCCGTCATCGTCAGTAATCTGGTGCCTTTGTGGAACTCCTTCCGGAGTTTCGGGCGGTCTCGATCCACCTGCGAGTACTCGGTTCTAGGTTCACGTGTGGTGGTTGGTGGTGAAGGTTGACTGAGGTGCAAGTTGAGATGCTTTGGGTATTCGAGTGGGATGAGGTGGAGAGATATCGTGTCACACTAGGACACATCGACAACAGCATTCTAGAACACTCTCCAAGGCTCATGGTTGCCTGGAAGTATCCCACTGGCATCAGCTTCCTGCTATTCACCTCAAGAACCTCCTCGTACCATTACGGTGTTACCTACAAGGTCAACATTGGTGTTGTAAACAGATTCTTTGTTGTGGCACAATGCACCTGTGTTGGTGAGTTTTGGTGATGGGAGCTAAGAGCTACTTCCTGACCTGTTGATACCTCACTCCTGGAGTTATGATTGTTACCAGATGCTCATTGAAGCACGCTTCACATAGCTCCACATCGTTGGCCAGCTCCTTAAGGGCAGCTTAAAAGTCTCCCCTTTCATGTTGTCATCTCTCCTCAAATCTGGTTCACTGTCAGCATGCAGTTGTCCTCCACACCGATAGCACGTACTAGCATAGCTCGCAACAAAAGGGTGAGGCAAGGCGTAAGGTATACTATCTGGGTCCTCGCTGGCTGGCTATGCAGGTTCAGTAGTTCCTTTTAGTCAGCCCAGACACAAAACCATAACTTGAATTCATGTACTTTTTTCTTGCAGAGGGTGGTAAACCTATGGAACAGTCCACCAGTTCAAACCGTGGAAGCGAAAACAGTACTTGGCTTCAAAATAGCCCTGAACATGTCTGTCAAGAATGGTAGACAAGTCCTACATGAGCCAATGGCCTCCTTTCCATGGCATGGCCACCTCTAGTTAGGGTGGCTGCCTGGTAAATTTTCTTCTTCTTCTTCATTATCATTACAAGAATTAGGTCTTAGTTATCAGGTAGTAGAAAAATTAGGTCTTGGCTATTAGTAGGACAATTTGGTCATAGCTATCATTAATAGAAGTGGGTCTTGGCCACATGGTAGTAGAACAAATAGGTTTTGGCAATAAGCAAAAGCAATTAAGTATTGGCTATCACAAATAGTACAATTAGGTCTTGACTATAAGACAGTAAAACAATTAAATCTTGGCCATAAGGTGGTAAAATAACAAGGTCTTATCCAGCCAAAAAGGAATCCTGAATTACATTATGAGGGAGCCTTTCCTCTTGTTATTAATAGCCTGTCTGTCTGACTGCACACTGTGAATTACTGTTATACCATCACTGCTAACTAACTTTTCAAAGTAAATATTTCTCTATTTCTTTTATTGTCTTCCCTACCAATAACTCAGTCTTTTTCATGCTTTCTTACTTCCCCTTTCCTGATTGATAGCCATCATGTTTTCTATATGTTCTCATTTCTTAGTTCTAATAAATAGCAACTGATTCACTTATATTACCCAGACCACAATATGAAACACAGTACATATGGTTTAAGGATATGGCAATGATCATTAGATGAAATGTGCAGTGGACACACCTCGAGTACCGGACACCTGAGTAACGACACATCTGAACAATATTACGAATATTGAATTTTTTTTAAATGGGATTTGTTATTCTCAACTTCAAAATACTGTGCAGTATAATAAAACTTGGTGTTTCTTTTATTAATAATGGCAATAAATGTGCAAATAATCAAAATAAATATAATTGCAAAACAAAGTCTTAGTACACTAATAAAAGTCATGCTTTGGATAAATTTGTAAGTATTAGTTTTCCTCATTTGTATATACAGTAATTTACTACAGATACCTGTAAAGATACTCACTTCTTATGACGAGTGTCACGAACGTAGTTATTAGGACAAGTGATGCTATTACACTTGTGTCCACCACGGGTATTGACGCAATGTTCATTTTCCCCCCGACACACGTTTCCTGTCTCACACTCATTAATATCTGTAAGATAAGATTTCAAGATTAATGTAAGAATGATTTATCAATTTTTCAATCTATAATCTTGTCTGTACAGAAGTCTCCTACAAATCTTTTAGGCTCAGTAAAAAAAATGTGTTAAATTGTGCAATCCATAAATAGAGTTTGTGTAATTAAAACACAAGTGAGAATCACCTAAAAAAAAAAATTTTCAACACAGAACAGCATAATCTGCACAACATACTGCTTTAGTCTTCCTCCCATACCTTGTACACCTCTAGTGGGAGGCCATTAGGTAAATAAGGTAACAAGCCTCAGTAATATATAAATCACGTGACAGGACTGCCAAGATGACCAGGAGCCAAACACTAATGAATTGCAGGATAAGGGATTGGTAAGGTGATCTGGTCATTAATTAGTCCATAGTGAAAAGGTGTGTGGTAGGGTGAGCTGAAATGAGGTAACAATCCCCTGGGGGGGTTGTTGTCAAGTCACTGAGGTATGTAGATGTGCTTCAGGATGCCTGGAGGTGACCTGTCTCAGGGTCACTGCTCAAGCTCAGGCTGGTTGACCTTTAGGCCTTCAGAAGACTACATATTTTTTTTTTTTTACGGGGATTAGCCCACCGGGCACAGGTCACTGACCCACATCAGGGCCGGGGGCGAAAATGTAGTAATAATAATAATAATAATAATAATAATAATAATAATAATAATAATAATAATAATAATAATAATAATAATAATAATAATAATAATAATAATAATAATTCATAGTAAATAAAATTTATAGTAAAAAGTAAAATAAAATATTAATGGTAATAATAATAATAACAAAACTGTGATAATAATAATAAACACAAAGAAATGCAAGAATGAAAAAAATCAACAGTGAGAAATGCTATATGTATGTTGTTTTGTCATGTAATAGAAACAATTGAGACCCTACAATTGTGTGTAAATGAGGCAGAAAGTTAGATCAGCAACCTGGGACTTGGTCACAATTTTCGTGATGCTATATGGCAGCAGGGTCTTCCGTTAGACAACACATTATGCTGCCAATATCTTCCCAGGCGGTAGTACCTCCCTGTTCGGTAGCTGCCTACTACCTCATAAAGTTTCTGAACAGTGAGGCTGGTCCATTATCCTCTTTCAAACTGTGTGAAAACCCTATAGTGGATGTCAATATTGGCAACCTAGTTACTGCACACTTGAACTCTGCCAAAGCATTAGTCGATAAGTTATTGCTTCCAAAAATTGTAAATCAGGAATTTCATCACCAAATAGGCTAAAATAACTTCTTGAAAATACCTTCTTTTACCTGTAGTATTGTATGTGTGTGTGTGTGTGTTTGTGTGTGTGTGTAGATACACACACACACAAAACACATTTAAATAAATAATAATTGGAAAATTATCTCACAAATAATCAGAAACAAATTTATTACAAATGTGAGTCTACCCTCAAGTTCATGCTCTATTAAAAGTAATAGAGTACAGACTTAAGTAGACTGTCACATTTTTAATAAATTTGTTTCTGATTATTTGTGAGAGTATTTTCCCATTATTATTTATTTGTATGTGTTTTGTGTGTGTGTATCTACACAGACATACTGGTATCTAAAATACAGGTAAAGGAAATTACTGTTTCTAGAACGTGTGGCTCCCTGTCCCAGCCACAAAAATGCTGGCAACTTTAAAACTACCCACAGACATTCTTGGGTACCTCCCGGTTGTCAACCGAGAAATGCGAAGTAAAAATCCGCAAACTTGGGGGGCATGCTGTATTGGAATTTTCTGATGAAAATAGAGGGTCCGGACCCACTATGACCCCCCTGGATCTGCTCTTGTAATCAGACAAGAATAGATAGATAGCCAGGCACAAAGAATGAGGTACTATGGAGGCAGGCAGTTTGTCAACAAGGAAGAGACCACTCCCCGTGACCCCACTTGGACTTACCCAACATTAGTTTATGCCCAAGTAACCCACTGCCACATCGCAGTTAATCCATCAAACAGACTGCGCCGAACTTGGCCCGTAACCTCCAAGTTAAAATGTTTATATAATCGAGTACAATTATTTCTACTTACTGTATTTCACTGTTAACTTTTTGTAGTTACTTACTCTTAGGTGATGAAAGAATACTGATTTGTGTGTGAAGATTATTCTCTTAATATATATTGCTTTACTCACCATAAACTGGCTGCATCTACCTGAACTGCAAGCCACATTAAATAGAATTTCTCAATCCCTCTGCAAGCCGCACAAAGACATGGTTCGGGCCGCGGGTTGCCCATGCCTGCTTTACAGCCAGCCAGGTGAGGGTGCAGGGGTGGATGTTTTTGAAGAATCAAAGGGGAAAGACTTACAGTACTTATTATTGGATGTATCTACAGATCTGCCAACTGTAGCTTATTAAACCAAAGGAACTTATAAGTCATAATTGACAATGCAATGGCACTCAACCCTAGCCACCTCCTTGTCATGGGAGACTTTAACTTTGGTGACATTGATTGGAGAAATGAAACTAAGCCACTACGCAGTAGTCTCTCGATAGCCAAGGCACATCATCGTAACGTCACTCAATCAAGACGAGATATATTCTTAATTATTTGGTAGAGGTAAAAATGAACATGGTATTGACAGAGAGGCAAGGGACCATAACCAGATTTTGGTAAGTTTACAATGTATCAAAGAATGTGCACTTTAACTTATATGAATTCACCTTTACAGGTACGGCCATCAGTTGCCAGCCTGTACCCATCAGGGCATGAGCACTTGAAGGATCCTGCCATGTTGACACAGATTCCAATGCATAGTCGTCCACGTCCTCGGTATTCTTCACACTCATTTACATCACTGCATGTCCTGTCAAAAGGGCAGAAATATATAAGGAAAGTGCACTTTTTAAAGAAGAAAAATAAAATCCCTCAAGTATCCCCATTAAAGATACTACTGTAAATACAGGTACTCCACAAAAATGTTCCCGCAAATGAGTGTACAGTTGGTAGTGAGGTGCGGCACACTGATACTGTACATATGAAGGCAGGACTCGAACTGAGATTGAGAGTCTGAGCATGTTGTGTTCTGTACCTGTTGTCTCTGGCCAGGTTGTAGCCTGCCCTACAGGTGCACTGATGGCTTCCCCATACATTGATGCAGTTGTGATGACAGATCCCTGGAATCTCAGCACATTCATCCACATCTGTAATTAGCTTTTCTTAATAACAATATTAAAGTTACAAAGTTAATAAAAAATAAGATGAAATACCAATTTTTACCACAAAGCATTACAGTAATTTCTAATACAACTAATATTATTTCCTTCAAGATTATCACTAATAAGAGAGAATTACAAATAAATATAAAATAATTGTAAGCTGACAGTAAACTAAAAATACTTTTCCTCACACTAGTTTGAATCTAGATTGCTGTAAAATACTGTACAGTATATGGTAGATCATTTTGAGATGACTGATCATTCCTGCAGATGAAAAGTATCACTTCCTTCTATTATTTCATACCATATCATCCAAAATAATATACTGTACTGTACCCAGGAAACAACAAACATGAGCTACAAAAATAAGCTTTATCCACAAGGATTTTGTCTATAAATACAGTAGATACAAGACAAGTGATGAAAACAGATACCCTTCCATCACACAAGTGTCACCAATGTCAATTTGAGCCACAATGCAGTTAACTATTTACAGACTTCATATGCATAAAATATATTACCAGTAATAGCTTACAAAAATTGTTGCTGTATTAGCCAAAATTAATTTTTTGTCTTCTCACCTACACAAGTACGGCCATCATTAGATTGTTTGAAGCCTTTTTTACAGTTACAGCGATAGGATCCTTCCGTGTTCTCACAGACCGCATTACTTGCACATACCTAATGAAAGATAAAAAGCTTTATAATATCACAAAATACAGCAAAAATTATATAAAACCATTTCTATTTTCATTGTATGTACAACCTTTATACAGTACAAGAAGGAATAGTATACAGTACATGTACAGTCAGCCAAGGATCCAGCGACCCCACCCTAGCTCTTGTACTTGCAATTTTATCTGGTAATAGTACTTGATGAAGGGAGGCTGTATGTAAGGGGATTGTGATTGGTGGAGAGATTTTAGTAAAACAGTAGACTGCGGATTCCATGTACCCACGATTTTTACTCTGCAATCAGTTTTATGTATCTGCAGGTTAGTGCAGTGTCTATCCCTCCACTCACCCAATTGCTACTCTGATAGTCGAATCACTACAGATAAATTTGAGCATAGAATAATGCTGTGTCCTTTCATTTCGATGAGGCAATGATGATGAGAACACAAATACAAGTGATACCCAGTATTTCAAGCAACGGTCACAAACTTATGAGGTAAAATCATATTTGTTTGATTTTCTATTATCTGGTTTGCTGTGGGGCAGAGGCAACTCACATCAGCATGTGCCAATCACCACTAAACTAAGGTGATATGGTGGCCCCCCCCAAAATTACACAGTCACTCTCAACCTATAACACCTTTTAAGACAACGTGGTTGCATCATCACTATCCACAACCAGGCTATCGTTCAATGGCTGGGGATTTTATGCCCCACTGTGTTCAAGTGGATCCATCGCTGGCAGGAGACCGGGGATGTTGTTATCACCAGTCTTGGCCGCGTGATCCAACAATTCTAAGTTTTTTTGGGGTGCTGGGGTAGGAATTCCTATTTGCTGCTTACTTGAGCTTACTGAATATCAGTTTCAAGTCTCTTGCAAGGAAATGGCAGCTTGAAACCCTAGGTGAATGCATTGCAGGAAATTGCAGGGAAGCTGAGAGGCCTTACCACGACACATGCAAGATTAATATTCCTTTACAGTACAGTACTGTAGGAATTAGATAGGCAAATAATAGAGTATTGTTTTAAGCATAAGGCAGGACAAAATATACTTGAAAACTTAGAATAAAAAACCCTAATTATATTACTAAAGATTTTTTGTGTTGGTTTATACATACACTTCCATAGTAAGCTTCACATTCATTAACATCTTGACACTGTCGTAAGCTGTTATGCCTGAAGCCAGTAGGGCACTGGCAAATGTACCCTCCCTGTCGATTAGAACACTCTTGATTTCCTGTACACTGATGAGTCCCATCAGCACACTCATCAACATCTGTACGCAGCAAAAGTACTTAGATATTTAGACAATCCTATATTTCTAAATAATGATTATAAGAGAGAAACTTCAAATTGCTAGGTACTAGAAACATCCATACTTTTACAATAGTGTACTGCACTTATTACAGATTAAATTCACTGATAATTCAAGTTTACATACCTATACACTGAGTTCCAAACTCATTCATCTTGTAGCCAGCTCCACAGTTGAGGAGAGGGTGACAGTTAAAGGACCCAATAACATTAATACATCGTTCATTTCGCTGGCAGGGTATTCCTTCAGCACACTCATTTATGTCTACAAAAGGGATAAAAATAAGTGAAGGTAAAACAAAGGAAGTTTTGTATCACAAATCCCCTAGAGGTGCCTCTATTATGTACAGTATTCCCATTAGGAATTAGGAATAAAAAAAATGCTTTTGTAATATTTAAGTCCCTCATTTGGGAGGAAACAGGAATATTGTACACATCAGTGACACCTATTTGAACCATCTTGATATTGTTGACAGTATACTTTTAGCATCAAACCAATTAGAATGACAAACATGAATGCAAGAGTTAGAAGAAGCAAATAATAGAGTATGACTGAAAATAAACTTCATAAAAAATAATGGTGAATTAGTTATTGAATTTCAGGCCTAAAAAAAGGCAACAATTTAACTTTACAGGAAATTGTGATATTACAGTTTGTACTGTACTGTATACCTATTTAAACCATCTGACAACACATGGGTATCTGTATACCTAGTACAAAAACATGGGTTGCAGGAACACAAGTTTGTACTTGGGACATACATACTTACTAAATTTAAAGGGAGAGGAATTTAATTAACCTTCCTCCAAAAAAGTGCGAAAGGTACTAGTGGCATTATATATCACCAAATGGAACAAAATGTTACCATACATCACCATACCTAATCCCATTCCAAAGCCACTAAATGTGCCAAGTTCTAATTTGAGGATGTTGAACTAATTATCATTAGCTCTTGTCATGAAGCAGCATCCTCCCCCACCAACACAAATAATCAACATACAGTATATCGGGTGACATCCAACTTAAACATTTCCCATCTGGACGATTGTCTTTTTTAATATGATTTTTTCCATCCCACTTTGACAATCAGGTTAGTTCAGGCTATGTTTGGTTAGGTTAGATTAAGTTACATTGCCTAAAACAGACAATCATCCAGGTGATATGTGAATAATGTGATCATATATTTGTGCCAGCTGGGTGATACGCACCAACATTAGTTGCAAGTACAAAACAACAAAATTACTTAAAAACTTATGTAAACAGTTACCATTACTTACAAAAATACATTTATCACTTTTTTTTTCTTTTTTAACTTCATTGGAATTTCATGATGTTTAACCATTTGTGGATACAGAGTTGACATGAATATGTGCAATGCATTGTGATAACCATATGAAAATCAGTTAAGTAAGATTAAAATAAAAAGCTTAAGTGCTCTTGGAAAACTAAATAAGCTCCTGTCTGAAAAGTAAATTACAGTAAAACCTTCCCAATACTGGACTAGTTCATGTAAACCTTGTCCGTTAAAAGGAGGTTTCCCTTTATGGGAGGGTTTTCTTTTTCCATCCACATCAAAATGTCCATCTCATATTATACAGTACTGTATACTGTACAGAAACTAAAGTTACCTTACTTAAGGGAGCTCAGTACTTGACAAACAACACTTTTTTTTTAGTACAATACATACATAGCTTGTATGTAGGCAAAAAACTTTCTTTAAAAGGCTTGACTTGTGAAGTGGTTCAGAACCTAATCCCCTATAATGACCTTGTTCCTATGGAAAAATGAGTTGGGGTTCTGATAACCTTACGAACTGCCCCATCAGTCCCTAACCTGCTTGTTAACTGGGGTATTCATGTACAAGGTCTGAGGATTTAGAGTGGCAGGGGACAAATTATAATTGAAGAAAAATAGATCAGCAATTGAGATCCTTGATTGCTATCAGTGAGGAAAAAAGTCAAGAAAACATTAGTTTTTAAAATATTCACAATATTTACTAAAAATATATACAGCATTACTCACCTTCACATTCTCCATTAACAGGCTTAAATCCAGAATTGCAGGTTAACTCAACACAAATACCATCATGGTTAAGCATTTGAGATGAAGGACAGGACTTCTTCCTGCATCGGAATGACCCTTTGAGGTTGACACATTGATATTTGGGACCCAACTGGTCACAATAATGTGTTTTCAGTTTACATTCGTCGTTATCTGTACATGCACAAGATAATTAGTTGAAAGTAGAAAGTTACCAGGTACAAATGAATCAAAACAAAAGAAGTGAAATGTAAAGGCAGTTTTAGTAATAAACGTGTTAATTGCATGCAAAAGTTAATAAACATAAAGGACCAAGCCAGGAATCCCATTTTATGGCCAAAACAAGAACTGTGCAGATCAACTATAATACAGTACAAATAATGAATATAAATAAATACTGTATGTTGGTGGTGTGTTTCTCACACACACACACACACACACACACAGGAATTAAGACAACACGCATCCAGTGAGGGTCTTGGTGTGTGACTACCTGGATCAACTTATGAAGAGCTCATAACAGGGAATCTTTTCTGCATATAATATATCATATTTTCTTTATTTCTAAGTCACATTAGTGTTGAAATGATTTTTATACATCTTTTATAATTTTATTACATGTAACAATGACACCATGCATTACCCTCTCCCTAAGGCAGGGAGAGGAGCGGTAAAGACCGTAGAGACCCTCGCGGCCAGTATAGTGGAAGCTGTAAGACGCAGTACACAATCTCCCTTGCACTCCATTCAACCCATAGTGCAATCCGTGTTGGTTAAACCCTCGTACTGTAGTTTAAGGGATATGCATACCTAATGTTGTTACACATGTACATATACAGTAGTTATTTATACTATATGTACAGTACTGTATTTTGCACACTTTGGAAACCGGCAAGAAAAACTCGCGAATTCTGCTTTCTCGTGTGGTCCATTTTAGCTAACCCTGGCGAACTTTAAGGGAATAATGTAGATTTCACATTTCAACATCCTCATTTCATCCACAGTTGTTTCAAGATCCCTCAATTGAGATCCAGTACTGTACATTACGTGCAAGAATTTTGTTAGCATATTAATTTTAAAGCCAAGCTTCACAAGAATAGATCAGTGATTTCTTATTTCTTTCTAGTAAATGGCCCATTTATTTTCTAATCGTTCAAACAATACTCTTGACATTTAAAACAAACTCATTACTGTCTTCGGGTACATTTATAACATGTATGTTTATCAATTTATATGACTGAAATTTAAGCCATTTTATTTTTAATGTGTATGCATATACAGTACTGTCCTAATACTGTACTGTACTGCCATTTAAATATTTTAGCAATAAGTGGTTTATCCTAACATTCTAATCACACAAAATCCACACGTTCCATTTACAGGAGATATTAGAACAAATTTGAATATAACACTGTACACTACATCAAATGTGTTTATTAAGATCATCTCACCATCACATTCTCCCGTGTTGTGGTTGAGGGTGTAGCCTGTACCACACCCTGCAATACGTATACAAGCGAAGGATCCAATAGTGTTGTCGCACCGTTGAGTTTCGGTACACGAGTGTAACCCAAGCTGGCACTCATTCATATCTGTCGAAATTTAGTCAGGCCATAAACACACTACGCAACAATGGATGATCATGTAAAATCTGGGAAATATTCAAATTAGTTGAAATTTCTCGCAATACTGTACTCTATTAAATTATTTTAATTTGCTGTAGTAACATGAGACAACAAATCCTGTAAAAACAAATTTACTAATTCAAGCTGACACTGAATCAAGGGTAACACACACTGAAAGAAACAATAATGGAAATTTTTTCAAGAAGGCTACTAACGACAGTAACATGTTGACTAAATGTAAAAAAAAAAAATTTGAAGACTAGATAGTGACTGAGGATTTTACCATCTCCCTATCAATAAGGTATTGATTTGTAAAAAAAATATTTTGTATAACATTATTTTGTAAGTATGTAGAAAATTAATTTATCTTATTCACTTTACTCTTGGATTTTATCTCACATTTTTGTTTCTTGTTATTCGACCATAAATCTTTCTTCCCTCTCTCTATTCCCCCTTTAGATCATATTACCCCTTAGCTGCATTTATCCTAACTTGTACCTGTACAGGCATCTTCCACCTTGTTTGAGTTTCTCCCTTATTTCTCTATTTCCCTCTCCCTTGCATTTTCACCCCCATATGATTTTTTCCTTATACTGTACTATATTGGTATTTTTTCTCATACCTTGTTTACATTTTCCCCATATCTAAATTCTCCATTTTCTCTAACATTTCCATTATTAATCCTTACCTTCACATTTCTGGTCTGATTCATCCCTGGAGAAGCCAACTTGACACTCACACTGGAAGGATCCTGGAGTGTTATTACACACCTCTTCTTCATCACATGGTCGAGTCGCACACTCGTCAACATCTGAATACAGTGACATCACAATTACCTTACATCCTTTGACCAGACCCCAATTTACTTAACGGTTCTGTTTCAGAAAAACCTTTTGTATAGGCTGACAATATGAAAGCCAAGAAATTTTTCTACATGGAGGGAATCTTAAAATGCCACAAAATGTAAAAACATGTTTTTTTACAGTACACTATGAATATTAATCGATAATAAATATAATAAGTGAAATACATGCAGTGCAGTACAGTAATAATGTTATACCTGTACTTAAAAGTGGATAGTATGAAATGCTAAGCCAACATCTATAATAATTACAGTACTGTACTGCAGTAATACACTTGACTTTCATTATATAATTGGAGATATGTTCCCTATAAATATAAATCAATCCAGTCAAAAAGTGTGTACAAAAATCCCATGCTCAATCCTTGTTGAGTTAATGCATCATCCTAACTTCCCACTGCTTTGTTTGCATGGAGCAATTGCCTTCTCAGCCATCAGCTGACCTTCCAAACCTCCATAGAAACTCTACACTTTCTGTTGGGGATTTTATATTTTAGACCGTCATTCCACACTTTGTCAAAGATCTTCATTACATCTCAGAGAGTTAGGTTACAATGGTTACCACTCGCTGCAGCTCTGGCTGTTTGCACATGCCAGGGCTATCGCTGTTGAGGTAGACTTCCCTTTCCTGAACCCAAATTGACTGCAATTGATTGTTACTCATTTCCAGGTGAATTACAAGACGATTATTGATGATTTATTCAAGAATTTTTCCAGATACCTTTAGGAGGGAGATTGGTCTGTCATTGAGTGAGTTGGCAGGATTTTTACCTCCCTCTCCCATTCCTGAGCACTTGATGCCCTTCCAACCTCTTAACTACATGATACAATTTCACCATAATTCCCATATTATTTAGTTATCATTTGGTACTGGGTTAATAAAACATAATTACAAAGTACAGCATAATCTCGATTTATGCGGATTTGGTTTACGCGTTTGGTCATTTACGCGGCACCTTGTCAGACCGACAATTTTTATTTACACGGTTCATTCTATCATTTATGCGGGAAGCGGCGCGGGCAGGGTGCGCACAAGGTCGCCCAGTCATCAAAACATTACCAAGTTCTTCACCTGGCACCCACCACAGCCAGCCCAAGTCAGTGATAGTGAGGATATGGACTTTGAGGGGTTTGACAAAGAGGCCTTGCAAGCCTCTGTGGTGGATAGTTATACAATAGATACAGGTGATACAGGTGAGGGCCAATAATATGCCCTCTGCCTCGGAATCAACCCCCCATCCCCATGTGCCCAGCCATCTTTTCAATAACGTAAGTGTTAAAAAACCTAATATTATTGATATTTCTCTTAAGTATTAATTGTGTGCATACCATCATAAAATTAAGATGTTATTTTTACTACAACGTACTATTGTGTCGGAAAAAGTGTAGTTTGGGGGTCGGCCCAGTCTCTATTTCAATTAATCCCATATGTTCTGTTACTTCGTTCACGCGTTTCTCGTTTTATGCGGACCTCCACGGGTTCAATTGACCGCGTAAATGAAGACTATACTGTAATCAATTAAAAAAACACACACACTTAATCCTAGATGAGTTATGGTGTGGTATCGAATTCCTGGTGGTTTGTTTACATAGTGTGGTCACAGCTGGTGCCTGCCTGTCTATTTGTTGTTGCATTGGTGTAACTCACAGAATGATTATGAGAAGGGATGAAGCTGTTTATGTAATGCAGAGCTTCTTTTTAAACAAATTCCATGTGATTTGATAATTGACAATGTCTTCTGGTATTTAACCAGTGAATTATTTTGACTCCATTGTACCACAAATCTGACAGCTCACACAAACAATTTCTAGATACTAAATTTATAATCTTTAATCCCAAGTTTGACAGCTTACCTCTGCATACACTTGAAAGTGAATCATACTCTGTCCCAGTTGGACACTGTGGACCAGACTGAGGGCGAGGAGGCAGGGGAGGAGGAGGAGGAGGAGGAATAGCGAAGGTGTTGGAGGTATTGATGGTGGCAGTAGCAGCACTGGGCTCAATTAAGGGGTTACACCTGTATCTACCCACAGTGTTGACACAAACCTCAGTGAGTTTATTGCAGAAATCATAACCCTCCTCACACTCATTGACGTCTGTGAGAGGGTAAGCATGATATAGTAGGTTTGTTAGTAAAAAAGCAAGGAAGTTACAATGTTAGTAAACAATTAAAAGGTACAGTACAGTACCATATGCAATGACATAAAGGGATATTACATGCTTATATTAATGTCTTGTAATTATTGCAAGTATTAGGTAACTAGGAGAAATGAGTTCATTAATTCAGAGTCCAGTACAATATCATCTAAAGAAATATTGCAAGATACAAAAATATATACAATCATAATTTAATTTCTCAACATTAATAATAATAATATTGTAATAATAAATCACGTATCACATGCAAATTAAATGAAAGAGCTAATAAGACAATTAAACAGCCACATATCCCTATAATAGGGATAAGGTAACATAGCCTTTTAAATATAAAGCAACAAGCAAATGTACCATACATAAACTACTGTAGATAAAACTACTAAAAACACTGCAAGCATTCATCATCATGAAGAACTTGGACACAATAAATCAAAACACAATACACAATCACACATACAGCCATGTTTTACCTACCCTTGACCCAGCACACTAAAGGACACAATCAACTAAATAAGCAATGGTGTGGTTGGCCTACGGAGACTGGTACATACTAAATACTCTTTATCTTTTATAATTAAAATATACATTGCATGCATATAAAGTATGTTGTGCAAATTTGGTAAGTAAATGTTGATCCTTAATATTTGGGAGGTATTTTCATAAAGTACAAGACCACAAAATCATGAAGCAGAGCACTGCTATTAAGGAATGAAGCTACCAACTGTTTACATCAGGAGTGATAGCAACAGGAACTTCAAAATTGCATCATTTGCAGTCCACAAATTATTAAATTTATTTATCTTATTTCATTATTTTATATTGTATTTCTTTTGAGATGCGGATTTGGTTTACGCGTTTGGTCATTTACGAGGCACCTTGCCAGACCGACAATTTTTATTTATGCGGTTCATTCCATCATTTACGCAGGAAGCGGCGCGGGCAAGGTGCACACAAGGTTGCCCAGTCAACAAAACATTTCCGAGTTCTTCACCCGCCACCCACCACAGCCAGCCCAAGTCAGTGATAGTGAGGATATGGACTTTGAGGGGTTTGACAAAGAGGCCCTGCAAGCCTCTGTGGTGGATAGTGATACAGGTCATACAAGTGATACAGGTGAGGGCCAATAATCTGCCCTCTGCCTCAGAACCAACCCTAGTCCCCGTGTACCCAGCCATCTCTTCTACTAAGTAAGTGTTAAAAAACCTAATATTATTTTTACTACAACATACGTAACATATTGTGTCTGGGTGAAGTATAATTTATTTATTTACTGAAGATATTTGTTTTTAGCTCATAAAATTCATAGAAATTACCCGGCCAGAATATGATTTACATTGCTGGAAATCTTATAAGATAGTGATTAATTTGAATATAAACAAGCTAAAATTTGCAGTAGACATACAAATTTTAGATCTAATTTAAGAATTTTATTAGAGCAAAATTTTTTTCTTTTGTGCAAAATACAGGTATATGACGTTTATATTCAAATTATTCGCAGTCTTGCAAGGAATCCAGCGATGTCAATTATATTATCCTGAACATTGTCTGAGGTATTATTTATTACTAAACCTAAAAACCTAGTGTTTTCACCCAAACATTTCTCAGGGAGGGAGGAGAGCCAGCGAGCGTTGGAAGGGGGGGGTTGAGTCCATTATTTGAATGGACATTAACCGGCGACTGTATTTCTCTTAAATATTAATTGTGTGTGCATACCATCATAAAATTAAGATGTTATTTTTACTACAACATACTGTACTATTGTGTCAGAAAAAGTGTAGTTTGGGGATCGGCCCAGTCTCTATTTCAATTAATCCCATATGTTCTGTTATTTCGTTTACGCGTTTCTCGTTTTATGCGGACCTCTACGGGTTCAATTGACCGCGTAAATGAAGACTATACTGTAACTGATTTATGGATTTTCAGGGAAGCCTTACTCTTTAATACAAATTACAGTCAACACATAACCAATATAAAAGGGTACTCAGGCCTCTGATCTCCTTTCCAATGCATTTCATAAAAATGATAGATATTGACAACTTCTTTTCACCCCATACCTGTTTAAGAGGATTTATTCAAATCAACAAATTATTATTTAGAGGTGTCCAGGGGATACTTGAAAATGATATACGGTATGTCTTTTCTTTGTCCTCTCAATGTAATGCCTCAAAGGGCATAGGAATATTTTGTAAAAAAATGTTGCTCTAATAAACCAATACACCAGAAGCTACAAAAACTACCTTTCTTATCACAGCCTTCAATCATCATCATCAGTGCTAATGTTTTATGACCATTTTCCATGCTTGTGTAGGTTAACAGCAATTACCTGATGGCAGTTGCTTGGTAAACATTGAATGGGATATCCCTTCTCCTCACTCACCATAGAAAAACTAGGGGCACTAGCCCAGAAAATGCAGCAGAGGCCAGGGGATGGGTACAGTTCTGGTGACCCAGTTGCCCTCAAGCCTGTTGAAGCAAAACGTTATGGCCAACCCACAGAGTGAGAACAGCTGGCAAAGCAGGGTCACAACTCCATGAGAAAATCGAGGCCTGCTTTATTAAATTATACAGTATCTCTGTGGGACAAAAGAGTACCAAATTTCCTAAAAAATAACTGAACTTTCTCAGAAAAGAAACCAAATGACTACAATTTAGTGATCCAGTCAAAATATCTAAATACTGAACGGACGAACATGGAGACAGTCAAGACTTCACCCTGTTCACTCAAGAAATCGGCTCTATCTAGAATGTAAAGAGCTTTAAGTATCATAATCAACTGCTCTTGGAGTGAGTTTTCAAGTTAATCACTCATCCAAATAGACTACCAGTAAATAGAAAATGCCGTCTCTTCTAAGAAACTGTAAAAGTGCCCCAATAAGCATAGTGAAGATTCTCAGAACAATGTTTAACCCCAGGTAGAACCATAAATTGGAAATAATGTGTATTAAGTGGAACTGCCTATATGACCTATGAATAGGATACCAATAAGGATCCTTCAGGCATTTATACAGGAGTCATTGTGTAATGACATTAGATTATAAAACATCTCAAAAGTATGAAGAATGGTTAGTACATTTCATATGGACATCTTATATAATGTTAGTTTTCATGAATACAGTGGCTTCCTATTCATCAAATCCAGAAAAACAATGCTGTACAGTATAAAAAGCACACATACCCATACAAATACGACGACGGCGATTGTAGCGATAGCCCTCCTGACAACGGCCACGCTTACTGCTGCTTCCACTGGGCCTCTGTTGGGTGTCAAACTCTCACAATAATTTCTATTAACATATTAATTAGCAACAAGATGTCTGTTGTCAAGGAAATTCTAATCTTACTGTATTTTGTCCTTCCCATTATATCGCAGAGTGGCCAGAACCAAAAGCAAATACATATTCTTCATCTGTTGTCATAAATTTATTCTTACAGCTGTAACATCCTCATAAACCATGTGCCAACACATTATCCTATCATTAACATATCAGTACCTTGTACTCAACTGATTCCTTAATGTCCATCACCCAAGCCTTCCAAGTGCTTCTTGGTTTCCCCAATACTGTACTGTACAGTACTGACCTCAGTATATAATGTATATATAAAACACTTTTACGAGTGTCACAGGTGCATTTTACGGTTTTTCCGTGTTAATCCTTTTCCAACAAGTGGCATAAACATGCATTCACTGCACAAATTGTAAAATCATTATTCTAATGAGAAATATTTCATGCACTAAAGTGAATATGTTGCAGTACCTTAGCTAGCACTACATCATAGTCTTCACCATCATCTTCATCTCTGGTGTATGCCGTGGTACTAAGGTTATCATCCCTCAGTTCACACACATAGTCTCCACGACGATTGACACAAATCTCTGATGACGAGCAGTCATGGGTTCCATCCAAACACTCATCTATGTCTTTATGGTATAAGGGAACACAATTTGTCAGGTAAAGTAATTGGTCTAGAACCCAAGTATACAGTGATGGTTAATGAAAATTGATCATAATGTCTCAGCATGTAAACTGTAGTGCTCTAGGATATAGGTACAGTGGAGTCGCGATAATTCGCAAAATGCAAATTTGCATTCTTAAATTTGCAGGTACCTCTATTACAACCTCTTTTTTAAATTTTCAAATATTCATAATTCGCAGCTGAGAGCCAGCTGCTGTAGTGTCCTTTTACATAAGAAACTATTAAAGTTGTGGAAATATCATTTCATTGCTCTAATTTAACTTAGAAATAAATAAAATATACCTTATGGGAGCGAATTCGTTATCCGAAATCTAGTAAATTGAACCGCTTGTTAATGGAGGGTCCACTATGTTAGTGTATTTTTTGATGTATTGCATATGATGAATAGTTTTTATTAAAGCAGTTTTGGAACAGTTTATGGGTATTTCTTGGCCTCTGGAACCAAACTACCAGCAATTATTTAAATTTAAATAAATTTAATTATAAATTGCGATTTCATAATTCGCGATGTCTTCTGGTACCCAACCAGTGAGTCATCGAAACTCCACCATATATGGTACAGTATTTACTTCTTCCCAACATATTCAAATTCTTATAATTCTATAAACCTGAACCACAACATATGCCAACTTAACTTTTGCAAATTCGACTCTGCGAAGGAGCCTGGGAGGTTTATATATATTGAAATAACATCAAGAGGTATGGTGCTTATTTTAAAAGCCGCAGGCAACCGCCATGATGTGACGTCTTGGCGTCCTGCCACTTCCTGCGCTGCTGTGTTCTCCCGTCAGTTTCGTTTGCGTCATCTTTTTTTCTCTGTGCAATTATAACTTTGTCATGGCTTCCAAAAAGCCATTAACCCATTAAGTGGTGGTAGTGCATCTGGTGCAAAGAAAGTGATGACCCTTACACAGAAAATTGTAGTGTTGGATAAACTCACGAGCATATGAGTACATTAACTGCTAATTATTTTGCTTCCATAATTTTGATATTACACTTATGACTGGGATAAATTATATATTCTTTCCAGTCATTATTTTGTTACAGGAAAACCTAATATTCAATATGTATGCACATTTCATTCACAGTGTTGTGTGTCAGGCATGTGTTTGTGTGTGTGCGTTGATGGTGCAGTGGTGGTGATACAAGGTGTGTGAGGCAGGTCGCAGACGATGCATCGCTGCTACTGCAATCCAGTTAGCTTCCCTAACATCACACCACATTCACTTGCTTTCTCATTTAATTTTTCTTTTCTTAACACATAATACAACTGTAAAAAGTAACTGTACATACCTGTGTAGTATTTAGAGGACTTAAGTAAAGTTTTTGCTCTATTTATGACTTTTTGTTTTAGCATTTGGTCCCTAATTTAATGTTTGATATTAAAGGTAGGAAATTAAAGAATGTTAATGGGAAATTTTATATTTGTAAACATCCCAGGAACCTATCCCTCGGGAATGTTGAGGCTCTGGTGTAATTTAAATTTGTTTTGTAATGCTTTTACTTTTATCCTCTTCGCCACTGATCAGCTCATTAGCCGCTTGGGCGATCGGTCACATCTCTGATTACTTTTCCTTTTCATTTATCTTCTTCACCAAAAGATCGGCTCACTAGCTGCCCGGGCGATCGGTCACGTCTCTGTCACGCACCGTTGGCAAATACTGGGCATGCACCGGCTCCTGAATGTACCTGAACCCACTCCCGTGTTGGTCAAGTCTTGTCTTGAAAGAGCTCACACTCTTCATTAGATTTGTATCTGTATGTATCCTGGATTAAAACCTGTCATAAGCTTTGCATCTGTTCAGTCCTACACCTTTACTAAATGCTAGTTAAACCCAAACGGATTATGGGTGTGAAGTGTATTCCTCAGCCACTGAGACTACAGTAGACTCAATACACTGAACTCTGTTCATCATGCTAGGGCGCACTAGGTGACCAGTGTCTTCAGTTTCTTTGCCAATCCCGAGTCAGCTAGTTGATGCTGATGAGCCACCCCTTGATCTTTGACACCGGTATCTCCAGTTCCAGTGTTGGTTTCGCCTCCACCACCTTCAGAAGTCTGTAACCAATACTTGTGTAGTTGACACTGCACTCAGTATCCGGGCCACCTTTTGCCTTCAGGGTAAGGGAAGTTGTGAGAATTCTTTGTCTTCCTCCTGTTCAGATATGCCCCCTGCAGGTCCCTAGTGCTGCTTTGTGGATTCTCCCTGAAGTTAACGAAAGGAAGGACTTATTCCCTCCCTGTATGGTCCCTTCTCTTTTTTTTTTTTAGAGCTTGCCTCCTCTCACAAGGGGACTATTCCTGTATACACCAACGGCTCTAAGTCTTTCCACATTTCTGTTGGGACGGTAGTCTCCCCACTATGGCATCTATTTTTACTGCAGAGCTTTCGGGTATTTTACCCAACCTCATAACGATTTTACAATTTTTAGAGATTCTCGTGGTGGTCTCCAGGCCTTAGCTAGTGTATCATTACCACATCCCTTAGTTACAGATATTTTACAATGGCTGTTTCTCAACCAACATCGAGGCCGGAAAGTCAGTTTTTGCTGGGTTCCTGCCCATGTGGGGGAGAAGGGGAATGAGAGAGCTGTGGCAAAGGCAGCTGCTTCTCGCCAAGTGGCAAGTCATTCCCCTCTACCTGCCTCTGATATGAAACCAGTAGTAAGACCTGCCATCCGCAGGTGGGATGCTGTTGGAGTAAACAAGCTCTGTGACATCCACCCTGCATTGGGTGCCTGGGGGATATCAGGGACTGTCACTCATGATTCTTTAATAGAGAGGGCACCCCCTCCCCACTGTGATGACTGCCTGGTCCCTTTGACTGTTCAACTCCTCCTGGTGGAATGCCCCAGTCTCAGAGATCTTTGTCATAAGCACCTCTCCTGGTGCCAGAGGGAGACAGATCTTACCATCTCTCTTTGGTGCTGGGGGAGGAGTGGGTAACGTGGAAGGGGATGTCCTCTCCTTTCTGGAGGAAGCCACCCTTCTATAAAAGCTTTGAGTTTTATCTATTAATGTTTAAATGGTTTTTATGAAAGTTCTATGTTATTTATTACTTGCTTTTTTGCCTTGCACTATTTTATTTTACTCTTTTAAGCTTTAATTTTAATTCGGCAACATATCACCTAAGCTGTTGCACTGCCAGGGATGTAATTACCACAATCAATCAATCAATTTCATGCTCCCCTACAGTCTTTAATAACTCCTTAACCAGTTCCATACATTTTGTGCAAAGAAACATGGCATGTTTATTGTCAGAATCTGAGAAGCATTTGAAGGCTTTAAAAAGCTTTGTTGCCTGAGGTGCTCATTGCAGGAACCACAGAAGGTTCAATTCATTTCTGTTGTTGTTGTTTTGTTTTGTATTGTATTGTTCTAGTACAATCTAACGATGACTAATGCTTGGCAACACCGTATTACATAAATATTAAAAAATTTGGGACATGTTTTGTAACAGCAAAACATTAAAAATTATGAGTGATTTTGAATTAGGGAGTACAAATCATGGGGATTTTACTGTACAAGTTTACATTAATTCAGGATAAATATAACCAGGAAGATGTTCATTTTAGTGGCCAGCTATTAAGAATGGAGATCACAAGAAATAAGGAAGAAATAAGATATATAAAACAAAATATTCAAATGCCTTCATAATTAAAGTTTAATGCAAAAGATAAGCAACTATAATAACTGACCCATGCAGACTCTGGCTGTCATGTTGAAGGTGAACCCTGGATGGCAGGTCTGAGTAGCAGCACCCTGGGTCTGACACTGATACGAGCCAAGAGTGTTGACACAGTATTGGCCATCCTCACAGTCGTCTAGCTTCTCACGGCACTCATCGATATCTTCAGTAGGATGATGATGGTGGAGGAAGAACTTGAGGTACCATAATGAAGGAGCGCATCAGGGCTTTTCAACATGCAGGCATCTATAATTTATCAGCTCTAAACCAGACCTTGAGTTTCCAGTACAGTAGACAATCATTTTACCATGTTTGAAGGGCAGTTCACTTGCACAGTTAAGCAATAAGCATGGTTGGGGTACCCCCAGGAGAAAAATATTGAGATAAAGAGCTTCTAACACAACTACTGTATATGAGAAGGTTGTGTATCACCCCCACTATCATTCTATTCCTGCATGTTTGGTGGCTAACTATAATACCTTTCAGGCATATAACTCAATAAGTGTCTGTCTGTCAGGGGTCTGGAGTGGTGGTGTTAACGTCCTGGCTCGCTAAGCTCATAAGCTGTGTGGCTGGGTCGCGTGTGCCCAATTACCCTGCTTAAAAATATTTACGGCACTAGATACACTTGGAATTTTGGTATCTATATTAAATACAAGCATATATTTTTTCATGCTTGCATGTTTTAAAATACCAAATTTCAGTAGTTACATCAAATTCCATAAATATTTATGTATAAGAAAGTAAATTTCTCCAATCACAGTCCGTGTGGCTGGCCACCCACGGCAAAGTTGCCATACTTTTTATTTAACTTACAGTGTATCTACCAAAATAACTAAAAAAATAGTAAGATTTAAAAATTAAAAACCTAATATGTGATAAAAAATGATGTGAGTGACTAACATTAATTTGCCAAGCCAACCTCTATAAAGCAATCTATTACCGTACATTAAAATGTGTGTGGTTTTTTACTGAACAACTGATTCGCCCTCCATGTGGTCATGTGTGTGACAGAAGTGTGTGGAATATATAGTGGTCAAACTCACAAATTCAAAGTCGAAGCTAGGAATTATTGTATGTATGCATTTTGAGTTAAATTATCATACCTTTTTCAGTGGTTCAACTAGTTTTGTTTAGGGGTATTAGTGGTACAGCGGTAACGCGCGTAACTCTCATCAACATGAAAAGGGTCCGAGCCTCGGCCCAGACACAAGTGATAAGGGTGTTATCCAGTGTGATCCTACCAAACATCACTGGTTTCCCGGTTCCAAAAAGTCGATTACAGTATTATTATAGGAATATATTACGAAATAGATTAAGATGAATGAATTATAGAAATATAATACGAATTATATTAAGATACTGTACAAGACCTATGTTTGGGTGTATAACCCAGGAGAAGAGGTGGCAAGCGGAATTTGGATATAAGGAAATGCACTGTAGATTAAATAGAGTTTATGACATTGGATTTACCATAAATGTGGAGACGTTCTGCATACAGTCGCCTGACATGAATGGGGGAGGTCGTTAGGTGTTACTGCGGGAGCCAAATTTTAACAAGGAGTGCTGAATATTAATTTGCGAAACTAAACCAGTACCAATTAAAGGAGAAACTCAAGATCCTACTGTATGCAATAGTACACTACCAGATGAAAGAGAGTATGCAAGATCTGTATACGACAATGGACTGTGATGAGACAATGTGTGCGGTAGTTAACGTCGTTTCCATCCCTCGCTCGTCAATTCCCGCGCACACAGTGGCAGGAAATTTGAAAATTAATTACCTTCCAAACATGGATAAGGAATGTTTGATGAGGTTAAATCGTAGTATTGGTTTCAATTAATAAAGCACGGTAAAGTCCTGGCTCGGATAAATGATTGTCTACTGTATTTGTGTAAGACTGACATTAAATAATCTTGATTTTTTTATTATGTAAAAAATTTAAATTAGTTTTTAATTCACATAGCAAAAATGTCATAAGTGAAACTGTATACAGTATCTGAAAATGAATCTGACATTGGGTGTTTCTTCAATAAAAATAATTAAAAAAGATGTAAATCTCCAAAGTTTTCACAAAAAAGGGGCAAAATTATAAGCCATCATTCTTTGTCCTCCAGATCAACACAGTAGTGAAGGACTGTGCTTATTGAGGACTAAAAAGATAATGAGGGAGTCCAGATAAATGATTTTCAGAGAGGCATTAAGAGAAATTACAGTCTCTGGAAAAAATACTGCAGCATTAAGGAATATGCTGACATATATTACACAAGAGGTCTGAATGCAGCACAAAATACTATAAAGATCCAGTTATTTTATAAAGAAACAAGAAGCATTTTATATAAGCTGTGTGAAAACAATAGTATTTTATTAATACAAATAATGATAATCAAGGTATTAGTTTACTTATTCAATCAGACAATAAATATTTACGAACTTGCTACTTCTGGCAAAGGTCAGGACTCACTAGAACCTGCTGGATGTCACCTAACCCACTTGATTCACACTTAGAGAATTCACCACTTCTAAACAGACTATTTCATGTTACAATATTTATTTAAAGTATGCATACAACTGAGCAAATCTTAACATAGTCTCCTGGTAGGCCTAGGAAAATCTTTTAAACTGATTCGGTCTGTGTGGGATGTCCCATAATGTGTATGACCCAAAATCATGTTCTACTTCTGCTGCAATATGAGATGTTCTACAGCTGTCCGGCAGTCACAGGCCAGCCGGTATAACTTGAGTGTCAGTTGTATTCCAGAGTCCTCAAGGAATAAACGTGTCGCTCGCCACCTGGCTTTCCTTTCTCCCAGATACCGTACAGTCTTGGTCCCAAGGGTCCCAGATTTGGGGGTCTATACTTGAAGTTAATTTTGTCTATAACTTGGCTTAACATGCCTAAATACCAAGCATCTTCCAAAATCAAGCATTTGCTAACTCTCTAGTCCTACACCATGGAAGGCAGTACAGTCCATTCTATCTTCATTTAATTTTTCTACTACCTGTATTTGTCAATATTTTTTATCAGAGACTTACATTACTAAATTTAATTCAGTATAGGGTATTTATGTATCAGTAGTATATTTTTCTCATAATTATTTTACCCCCAAATTCTCAATATGATGTAGAACAGCTCATTAACTGAGTATTTCCCTATACATGTTGACAAAATTATATTACAATTTCCAGAAATGCCAACCAATTCCATCTCTTTACTGACCACCCAACAATACTTACTACCTTACACCACCAGAGTAGCACAACTCTCAGAACAGCACACACTAAGCGGTCAAACAAGCACATCATAAAAGAGATCGTACATAAACATTCAACAAAAACATCACATTAGCAGTAAAGACAAACTGACAAACATTGTCCATTTTTATCAGGACTTGAACCATGGACTGCAAAATATGAGTCACAGATTATACTCACTCAGCTACCAACTAAATGGATACTGCCTGGGACTCATTTCTTGTGTAGTTTTGAGTTCAATTCCTGACAAACGACTTAAACTTAACATAGCAAACAAAGCTCCAAGAAAAATAGAACTTTCTTCAATGATATACAGTACAGTACCATACAGAGAGAAGAAATCCTGATTTACTCACCTACACATGCACGCTCATCTTCATTATACCTATAACCAAAGTCACAGGTGGGCTCATGATCAATACACTTGAAGCTGCCGACTGAGTTCACACATGTCTGGGTTGACCTTTCGCAAGAATCCACAGTTTCCGCACATTCATCAATATCTAGTGATGAAAATGCACTCAAATTAAGATAACTATTATGAGGACATTATCAAATATGACACATGATTCCAGAATATCATTAGTATATAAGAATAATGTTGTTAATAAATACATAATGTAGTACTGTATAATACTCTACCTAAATTTCAGAAAACACGAGTTTCATGATCTTTTTTGTTGATCATGCTTTATGACTCATTAAATTCCTTATTATGAAAATTAATCTTTATATACTGAGTACTTTGAATGTATTGACAACTTACCTTCAAAATATTATCATGCAATTAGGACACATTACCAATTATCAGTAACAGGAGATGAATCTAAAATAAAAACAGTTAAGGTAGTCCTTCTTTATCCCAACTTTTAATATATTGTATTGAATTGCAGGTTTCAATTTAGAAACATTTGATCTTTATGAATAAATCATTTTATTATTTTAATCTGTCTCATTTTATTACAAGAAAAAAGTTCAAACCATGTTCTTGAATTACTGTCAGCTGAGCAGAAATCAACTAGAACCTTTTAGATGCACAATGCAACATTTAAGACAACAGCTGTCTGCTACTAGAGCAGCCAAAGCCTTGAATGCAAGTAGCGAGAGTTGCTTATGTATGTACTATATGCAATTATTTATTTAAAAATTTGCCCTAAATCATGGATAATAATTAGTGCAAAAAGATTCATCAATTATTCATCAAACACATCTTTTATCATGAAACAATGAGAGCGTATAATTTTAGAAATGAATTAGATATTATCAAACATGAGAGTGGTGACAAATACCCAAAAGAGTTAAAACATTCCCAAGCTTTTCAATGGTATTCTATATTTTATTTCATATATATTTGTAGGTATTTCACATCTTTTATCTACTTTAAATGTTTTTGTATGAACAATCAGCCCTAAACCCAGAAAATTCCTGAGCAGGATTGAATCTACCCTTTACACATTGTTTCTTATGGGAAAAATAGTTTTGCATCTCACAATTTTGATCATCACAAGGGTTTTCAAGAAAAAAATCCCTCTGACAAACAAGGACTCCCTGTACAGTGACCCTCAGTTCCAGTCAACTTAGCTAACTAATTTCCTATCAAAGAGGTTACAGACCCAGGAAACTGGTTTTCAACCCACAGCCATGTCTAATTTTACCCCAATTGCCTGAGCCAGGTACAGTATTTAGAAAAAAATATAACAAATATTTGTGAAAATGTGGGTATGGTCTCAGCTGTTAACAATTATTACACTGATGTCTCCTTATTACACATTTGTTCCATCTCATCAACTTCACAACTAAGTAAGTACCTGTAGACAAATATTAATGATAAATGGTTAATAAAATTATCATTATATTTACTAGTCAGGTTGTCTTAATCAACTGTCAGTCTGACACAATAGGAAAATATACACTTACCTGTGTCAAGTAGTTAAAACAGTCTCTCAGAATAGCATACTGCACAACTGTACAACAATTTGCAGCAAACAAAACAGACAATAAAGCGGCATTACTGATATACAAAAACTAAAAGCACCATCCTCCCCACAAAAGATCTGCTATGCATGCACACACAAATTAATAAATACAGTAATAAGAGAATTACATGGTCTGCAAATACAAGAGTGAGAGTGAACTACAACACATTACAGTATTACAAATTCAAACGGGTCACACCTGAAATATAAATATTTCCAGTTAGTGTTCTGATAAACTACACCCAATAGTGCCATCTCCATACACCCTCAATCTGCTGATGGCTGTGTAAATATTTCAATGTGATTCTGATCTTTTTAAATGTAAGTTTTTGCATAATGTAGTATTACTGATATGTAATTTGTCTTCATATGCCCTATTGTGGGTGAAAATAAGTATATATTAAATGCATCCTCCGAAGGCGTGAATTTGCTACCAGAGTTTAACAGTTAATTCATGTATAATACTTCTGATAAACTTCCCATGTACTGTACTTATGTTTGAAATGATGAATATATGTATCTTTATAATTTAGCTAAATACCTTTCTCGTCAGAAACGGTCATCCCAACGATTATGAATAAACTCATTTAGAAAAGCATCATTCCTTCAGGACGAAATCGGACAGATTTGAAACCGCCAATCAGCTGTAACTTTTGAGAAGGGGGTGGGGCATCTTTTCTCAGCTGAGAAAAAATGCACTAAAGTACACAAGAAAAAATGTAACACACCCCCCTCCCCCCCCACGGGTTAGCAAATGTTCTTCGCGGCCATTTTGAGAACCTAACCCCCGCGAATTTGAAGGGCATGCTGTAGTTGGAAGAATTGGGAGAACAGTATAGACCATGTAAGTATATACAGTACAGTACAGTATATATTTCACCTATAGTGCTTGCAAAACTTAAGGAAATATGTAGCATTTCCTCAAATAAAAGGAATAATGTTGTGCTTTGCATTTGAAATAGGAGAGCTTTCTGTCTCCAAATTATTTTTTCACAGGTCCATACTAGGTGGGGATGACACCTGCTGCATCATCGTAAGTCACTATGTCAACAATGGTCATCATACATTATATCAGAGACCCCAATAGCCAATGATATAAAGTCTTTACCAGGCCTGGAAATACCACTTGTCCGACTCCTAATAAATACAAATTTATTAATATTCTACAAGAATTCACAAATATGGATAGTTATGAGTTTAAATTAGTAGCCTACGTTAGATAAAAGCACAAAATATGTTTATTATTCATTTCAGTATAAATCTTGCCTGAGAAAACAAGACCTTCATAGCTAGAATACATTAGTTTTAAATCCAACTAAATCATGTGATGATTAATTTCTGACATATTCTAAAGTCTCTTTATTCTCTTGAAAATAAATCAGCTACTTATGAACCTGACAATTTGATAAACAGTAGTGCATAAACCAAGGCAATTAAACCTGCTGATAGCCATGGATGAGACATACCCTGACACCTTCTCTCGAGGGTGTTGTACCTGAAGCCTTTGGTGCAGGAGCTGGGAGACCCCCGGCATATATATCTCCCGTACTGGTTGTAGCAGCGCTCACCTCCATGGCAGTCGTGGGTACCTTCTACACATTCATCTACATCTGATATTTCAAAATATCAAAACAAAATAAAAAATCACAAATATAAAACCTCTGTTCTGCAACTCATCAATATTTAATGTCATAAAATTATTAATAAAATGAAGTTCAGAATCATTCAACCTATCTTCTCATTCATCAATGTATGATGTTACTAAATGACTAAGAAATAGAGGATCTTGAAATCTCTCTTTTTTACTAAACCTGTTGCCACAGTTCTTGTTAATGCTTAAGCTATTTTAGGTTTAGGAGTGAAGAATATCCAGTAACTAGCAGCTTGGGGCTGATCTTATGATTGCCCACCCCTGTGCATCACAACTATCTCCATTAAAAGGATAAAGTATTTTTACCTAGAGGCAGGAAGTATATAAAGATCTATAAAGAAAAATACTGTACTGTAATATCCTCAGATCTCTTCCTTTTACAGATTTATTTCTGACTACCCCTTTCTTCCAAAAATACTACAAATACCAACTTACCCACACATCTCAGTGACTTTGCATCTCGAGTAAAACCTTGTGGACAGTCTGGGAGAGCTTTACATCTGTAGCTGCCCTGAGTGTTGATGCATTCCTCCTTTGGAATTCGACAAGTGTGTTCCCCTGTTTCACACTCATCAACATCTAAGGTAGATACACACAAAGATGCAAGTATTTACACATGTGATAATATATTTACATACAGGCAGTCCCCGATTTACCACAGGGATACGTTCCTGGACCCTGATCGCAAGTCGATTTGTTCACAGGTCAGAACCGTGTTAATTCTACTGTGTAAGTTAGGTTAATGCACAACCCTTCCCTTACAAAACAACAATAATATCCCATACATAAAAATAATGAATACACTGCAAATAAAGTGATACTAAACAATATAGAATAATGAAAATGTAAAATATCAGATTTTAATTACAAATTTTTGCAATGAATGGTATTGGGATCCTGTTTGTACAGTATGTGTGGATGACTGTAATTCGGACGGGCGTAACAAGAGGACTACCCGTACTTCTTATTACAAACTTGTGATGTAGAAAAGTACACTATAAACTTCAAATATTTATTCAAGAAAAGACTTCAACTCAGTTCTAATGAACTGAGGTTTGGACCATTCTCAATATCAAATAAGTACTGTACAGTAGTCATCAAGTTAACAAATTTATTAAAAAAAGTTAGGGGTATCAGAAATTGTAGATTAAAGCAGGAAATCTTATTTTATGACCAAGCAGAGAAGGAAAATACCTGCATCCCCTACTAGGACACCTATGCCAGAGTTGGCCTTGTCCAAAGGGCTATCAACTATCTCGGAACAAAGACATTATCCTGTCAGATCATTATAAATTACTGCAGAGGAGCTACTTACCCAGTGTCAAACCAAGTTTATAAAGGATGCCCCTACTGTAGTCCAGTGGATACTTTGTGACCCAGGAAGCCATAAAGTACACCATAGTAAACCTTAAAACCAGCTTCATCAAGTTTTGAACAGCTTGGCCATAAACATAACTTCCACACCTCAAACTTTCACATTTTTACGTTATCAGGAAACCCATCAAGGAAGGACGGGGACACCTATCTCTTCCCCATTGCCATAATTATAAGTTTGATTCTGAAATTTGATTTGATAACCAAACCATTAAGAAACAACTTGTGTTTCTGCAATGGTAAAGCCAGGTAGATTTGGTATGAATAACCCTAAACTAAGTTGGCTATGTTTAAATGAAAGATTAAAGGTCTAAAGTAGGTTCTAGAGTAAGACAGAAAGGAGCAAACCACAACCTTTTGGTTGCCTTATTCAATTTGTTGTCATATAAGAGTATTATTCCTTCTGAGGGATAATTCGACATAAGTTTGGAGCTGGGCTGCCTAAATGCTATGTCAGTTGATGTGTAAGGTGTGAAATTTATTAAAATGACCTGTGCCTGGGTGGGTTAATGCCCATAAAAAAAAAAAACTAATTATGTTCCAAGCCCAGGTACTCTTGTGCAGACTTGCTGCAATCCAGGTGGTAGTCATATAACCATCTTAGGACAACTGCCAGGTGTAATCATATGACAAGGGATTTTTCAAATGTCCAGGGTGAAAATTTTCACACTTAGCCCGCCAGGCCAGAAATCTCCTTAGCAACCTTTTGAACCGGCTAGCTAAACCAATCACTTTACAGTATGCCTTTGTCTGATACAAACAGTCATGGGGGAAGGAGATTCAACTGCCCGCATCTCCCCTTGTGAGAGCCAGTAGGGAGCGTAGCAGAGATAGCGCAACAGTGTTACAAATGTCGGCAGACTCCGGGCCATCACGGAAAAAAGATATACTGTAGAAGAAAGAATAGTCTTTCTACTGAAGAAACTGATTACAAGTTGGGTAGGATTGAAGATGATAGTGGTGAAAGTCACAGCCAGTGGGAACCAGAGGATAAAGATGTAAGTAATTCCTTAGAGGAGGAAGAGGAATATTGGCAGTGCCGCTCTACACCAGATGACACACCAACACAAACAATGGCTGCATCCAGTACCCAGGAAAGTAGCTCTTATAATATTTAAGTAAGTGACTCAGATTCCCCACCAGCTATTACTATATACCAAGACAGTAAAAATATGGCTTTTTGGAGTGATGGGAGAGATTTTGTGCCAAACAGTCCCTACTTTGATCCATCAACACTAGACCTGTGTTAGAAATATCGGCTTCCAAAAGACAGAGTACTGTATTTAGTGTGTGTGTTGTGTTTGCCTCTGTGTCTGATGTCAGTGATGTGTGTGTCTGTGTGTGTATTTGCATGTGTCTGTGTTTTTGTGTTTATGTGTGAGTCAGTGGATGCGAGTGTGTTTGTGTGACGTGTTCTCTGATATAATTTTGCAACATGTAATATAAACAAACTATTGTGTGCATTGATATAGCCGATTCAGTGTGATATAGAGGAATAATATACTAAAATGGTGTAAGTAATTTATAGAAAAAATTAAATACAAATCATAACAAGTATTATAAGTGACATGCCTATGAGTGTAAAGGGTATACTTGGCAACACCTCACCTCAACATGTCTGTGCGGCACTGGCAGAACCTTTAAATTGGTTATTTAATTGTTTTCAATATTTTTTCCACATTCTAGGGTCATTTGGGAGTGATTGGGCTAAAAAAGGATAATTTTATTTTATTGACCAGGAGACCTAACATGCAAAATCATAATGTACAGTATTCATAATGTGACCATTGACGTGATGAGATTTCACTGTATTATATTGAATTCAATTTGAAACACTCACCTCTACAGTGTCCACGTTCATCCCTCTGATAACCTGCGGTACAGTCAAGAGTTCTGCATCGGTAACTTCCCTGTGTGTTGACACAACGTTCTTGCTGAGTGCATGGGGCTTCTTCAACACACTCATCAATATCTGCAGCACATACAGTATTTATAAAACAATGAAAATAAATACATCCTAAATGACTTGAATACAATTAATTTCCAATCCACTAAACAATATGTGAAGCACAAAAATTATAAATCAAGAAAGAAACAATATATATTTCCATAAGTTTAGATCAACGTCAACTAAGTATTAGTTAATATAAGATAACACTTAATTTTCCACTGATGTGATTAACACTTTCGGGATCACCTGAAATTTATTTAACGAGCCTGTCACAGGACCACTTTTGAGCCCACAGAATGAACAGAAAACACGGAGAAGACTTTTTTCCCAAGCACTATTCGTGGCTAAGTTATTGTCAAATAAGTATTCATATGATGCTTTCATATGTAAAAAAGGCTGGGAAATCACATGAAACCCCCCAAAAAAACAATACAATAATAATAATCATAAATAAAAGCCATTTTGGCAAGTATTGTGATTAGCCATTTCAACCACATCACATAAATTCAAAAAAATATTTCACTATTTCATTACAAATATTTCACTACACATCACTTTATCATTTCATAAATATAAATATCCAGGTTGAAAGTGATAAATCAGTGGCCATTTTTAAATCTTGCCTGGGACACACACACCCACTGCTTAAGAAGCCAGATGCACACTGGTGACTGTGGTGCAATAATGCCTGACCTACTACACCTAAATGGGTTGTTATCTAGCCTTAAGACTTGGTTTTGTGCAGGAGACTGGCATGACAAAAGTGGCGTTAAAATTTGAAGTAATTCGACCAAAAACTTTTATAGAAAATGAAATAAAAATGCAATGATGGTGCATCTGATCGTGAGGCAAAAGTTTATTTTACATTAAATCAAAACACCATTTATGCATCTGTGATCCCGAGAGTGGAGTTAAGTACTGTACTGTATGACAAATGTTAGGAAAATAGAAATCTTAAAACTGCAGTACAAGTACAGTACAGTACTGTGTATCATAATTACTGAAAATCTTTATAAAGGAATTATGGTGAATGGTAGAGTAGAGTATTAAACTTTAAAGGATGCAAGTTGAATAATAACATCAGGCTGGTATTTAGTTCTCCTTGCTAAATTTCTTCATTAGAACTCCCATATTTAAAAGTTTTCCTGAATTTCCTCCAAAATACAACATCAAACCCATTTACATAAAAAAGTTCTCATTGTTTTCATGCATCAGTTAGCTCTATGAGCGCCAACTCTTATTGACTTAACTTACTCAGACAACTTTTGGACAAACCAGAGCTGACACAACTTATGACCAACTAAAGGTTACTTTTAGTGTTATTTGATACAATTCTTACCTTCACACTGTTTATTGTCCTCATTCCTCCGGAAGCCTGGATTACACGGTGTAAGACGACGGCACCTAAACGATCCATTACTGTTGACACATTCCTCCTCTGACCCACAGGGTGATGACTCACACTCATCTATGTCTTTTCCATAGAAATATTGTTCAATTAGTAAAATGAGCACTTTTCTCTATCATATACCGTAAGCCAGGGTGACTTCGGACAACCGTTGATTTACTGTATATAAAGTCAACGAATACCCACCACCCGGCAAGTTTTCCAAGTCATGCAGGAAAAATGTTGTGGAAAAATCACTACAATTATCACAACCTGTATTTTTCTGTCTCAATTTCTTTATTGTTGATGTAATATTGTTTTACTAACCTTGTTATGCACTTAAAGACCTTAGTTGTTGAAGAACAGTTATAACATCATAACAAAAACTTATTTTCTAGAAACAGTCCAAATAACCAGTGTCCTCCCCCTCCATAGATTCACTTTTTTCGGACTTTCGCCTTTCGCATTTTCTGGACTGGGTCTGCCCCAATTAGTCTGGTGTATTGAGGTACTACAGTAAACTCATTCATCTAATCTCTTACATTGAATTTTAACATATTTATCAGTAAATAAAAATAAATAAAATATGCATACTGTACATATAAAATTGAAGAACTGGTGGATTAGAGGCTCACCTGTACAATGCCTGGGGTTAGCAGGGTCACGATTATAGCCAGGGCTGCAGGGTCGGGCCTGACATGTGTGGCTCCCAGGGATGTTGATACACTGTTCTGATTCTACTTGGCATCCATGGAGTCCTTCTTCACATTCATCAATATCTATCCCATTTAAATAATATGAAAATATACGATAAAAGAATAGTCTCTATGTCAATGTTTAGAGGAATTTGGAATATGTTATAATAAAAAAAAAATTGACATTGATCTATATTATTACCTTATATATGCAGACAATTGGGCTCAAACATGTACTTAGTTGCTGTAAAACCAAAGTGGAATTGGTAATATTATGCAAGGTTTTTTACTCTTTTGACTGGTATTCAAATTCAGTTCCATTAGCCTGTCAATAGAGGACAGACTTAGTAACTGATGGGTATGAGAGTGATGTCCGAACACATTCTACAGCTATGCCAGGCTATTTGACAGTTTTTGCATTAAGGATTTCACCCAACTGCAACAGCTTGGGGATTTATGGTGGGTATTAGAATGAATGAACTACAGATATGAAGCTTTTTCATTTAATCTTATATTTTATCATTTCACCATTTGCCAGCTTACTAGCCATTCGGGTGGTTAATCTGTTCTATATAACTTTGTTACAAACTTATTGTCCAGTGTTAGTACAGGAGGAAAATGGAGTACCTGGAGGAAAGCTGTAATGTTTGATAGGGTTACACTGGATAAAACACCCTTCCCATGTGTGTCCCGGGCCAGGACTGAGATCCTACTTTCAAAGAGTCATCATTGTCATCACCACTATTTTACAGGCATTTTCCACACTTGCATGGGCTAGCCAGAGTACAGTATGACAGGAGACTTTTTTCATGACCGCAAGTAGTGTGTGGTGATTAATGGTATGAAATCATCATGTGTACCTGTGCCAAGCGGGGTATCACAGGGCAGTGTACAATGCCCATGTTGTCTGTTTGTTTCCTAAATGACATGCCAGAAGCTATACACTCCTCCATACAAATGTTTGCAGACAAAGCCAAGTTATTCCAGAAATTAAGAACCAAACGGACTGTGGAAAGCTACAGAAAGATCTCTGTCAGCTTCAAGAGTGGTCGAAAGAATGGCTGTTAAGATTCAATGTCACGAAATGTAAGAGGATGCACCGAGGTCGTCCCAAAAGCAAGGAGGCATATCACATGTCCAAATGGGAATAAAGAAACAGAATTAACAGAGACCGAATGTCAAAAGGACCTGGGTGTGTATGTTGAGAATGAACTGAAGTTCTTGGGCCATTGTGAGAAGATGAATCAAGCAACTAAGCTAGTAGGTTTACATGAAGTTTGTTTAGATATCTAGACAGTCCGATCCTCAAAATGCTCTTCAAGAATGAGGTGATTCCCAATTTGAGTACTGTCACCCCATCTGGTGCCCGATACATGCCAGAGACTGTCAGTTGATAGAAAAAGTCCGAAGGAGTGCCACCAGACCGGTGCCTGCACTACAGCACCTCTGTAACCCAGAGAGATTTGAATGCCTGCAACTGCCTAGCTTCTATTATAGATGGGCAAGGAGTGACTTAATTGAGGGCATTATTCAGTCAAGTATTTATACCTGGGGCGGCCAGATGTCTGTCCCACTAGGGGTCACAGCTCAACTTTGAAGAATCCACAAGTTCGGAAAATTGTCCGGGCAAACTTTTTCGGAGTGAGAATTGTATACTCTTGGAACAATCTGCCAGAGAGTGTTATGATAACAAGACCAGACTTGACCAACACTGATGCAGGTACAGACACATTATGGAGCCAGTACATGCTAACAGTGTGCAACAGAGACATGACTAACCGCCCAAGCGGCTAGAGATCTGATCAGTGGCGAATATGATAAAAGTAAAGTAAAAGTATCCACAATATGAGGTATCAACAGACAGATGAGCATCCATGTGGGTGGGATAAATATCAAATCCCTTTGGCAACTTCACATAATTTCAGGTGGCAAAGGAAATTTCATATAAATTTGATCCTATGATTAGAAATTTGGACAGTTGATACAGGTTCAAGTGTTTGATATATTTTTAATTTTTTCCTATACTTACCTTCACAAAGGTGTGTCCTTAAGTCTCTGCGGTAACCATGGTCACAGGTGCAAACGTAAGATCCATATGTGTTCTGACAATGCTGTCCTGGCTCACATACTTGATCTCGACATTCATCAATATCTGGCAGAGGAAGTTCCGACAATATGTAAGTTTGTACAGTGGGGTATGCTATAACGAATGGATTCTACTACGAATATTCCTATAACGAACGGTTTTACCTATAAAATTGAGAATGCTATCACGAACGAAACTCCTACAACGAACATTATTATTATTTTTTTTATTTTTTATTTTTTTAACTAATTTATTGTTTTTTTATTACAAGTATTAATGATATTCTTTATTTCAGGGGTTTAGATGCATATTTATGCACTTTTTTACAATTTTTACAATTTTATATTATATTTTTCAGTGTTAAGTGGTTGTATTTGGGGGCCTGGAACGGATTAATCCTATAACGAACGAATGCTATAACGAACAAGGTTCTAGAACCAATTAGATTCGTTATAGCATACCCCACTGTAAGTGGTTACTGCACAAATTTGCTCAGTAACAATTATACAGGGTATATATATATATATATATACAGGAATCTTCAGTCCCTGGAACTATTCAATAGCTGGAATGAATGTTGAGCCTTCCGGGAAATTTCGAGAAAACTCACTCCATTCAGGGCATGGGAACGAGTTTCCGAGGATGAAATCATGCACATTTTCTGGAAAAATTCTGAGAAAATCTCTCCGTTCTGGGTATGGGATTTTTTTTTTATCGAGAGTTCCAAGAGATTGTATCATGCCACGACATGCCCACATGTTTCAGGCACATGGGTGGACTAGCTGCTTGGGTAACTTAGGCTGTAGGCTTGCACACTTAATTAATATTCTGCTGCTATTGTACATGGTTGTTCACTTCCTCACTGCTGTTTTGCATACAATCTGTGTTGTGCAGTGCTGTAAATTACTGCACCAGGACACAATCAGCCAAGAATACAGTGTTACAGCAGTGTTAAGAAGTTAAAAGTTATTACATTTATGGATACTGTACTGTACATTCAGCAGTGTGGATAGTGTATGCCTACTGTAGGCTAGTGTGTAGAGGTGTGTGTGTGCATAGTACAGTGTGTACAATCCCTCCTTCATGGAGGAAGAGATGAGTGACAGTTGGTAACACCTGCTACATTAGATGGTACAGGGCAAAGGCAGGCCATCCTATATCATCATATCACCATTTGGCCTGCCTGCATCACAAGCTCAATACGACAGCATCTGCTGATGAGTACAGTATATAGAGTACAGCAGTTGTTTACTGTATATTATTTTGTTTATTTACAATATATTGTATGTATACAATGGTGTTTGCATAAATAAATACAGTTCTGTGTCTGTACAAGTGAGATGAAAAGTTAAGACTCCTGAAAAACTTTCTCCAGTACAGGGTGGAAAATTCCACTGTCTCAGCTGTGACGCACTCCATTCACACCAACCTCCCCAAAAATGCCTCCTTTTGATGACCTGTATCATATACTCTTAGTATGTCATCCCTTTAAATTTCACCAATACAATGTATATACAGTAAAACCTTGATATATCGGACTTCAATATAGCATCGGCCTCGAAGCCTGGTGCTGAATTTTCCTCGCGAGAGATACACGTTCGTCCTGGCATTCTCTTCCAAAATAAAGCAGTTTCATCCAGATTGAAAATCTGTATACTAATTTCAGTTTACAGTTGCTGATCAAGCACACATCCAACCAAAGGATCTACCCCAGGAGAATAAATCTAGAAAAGGATTTGGCATCTAACACCCATTCAGAGTGTTACAGCTTATCCCTAGACAAAAGATCTGCTTGAACATCCAAATAAAACCAAATGCTTAGCAGCAATACCTTGAGTGTTCTCTGCTTCATAAACAAATACTCTAGATACCACTTGCAAAAAAAAAAAAAACTATTCATTAGTATCAGTGCATGAGACAGCTAGCATACTATCCACAATAAAATTATCTACTGACTAATGCAGTCTTCCTCATACTGGGGAAAGAGGAACCAGAAAGTCCTTTAAGCTAATGTGCTATGGATTTTTTTAGACCATTTTTCATTCATTTCAGTTCAACTTGCACAATGAAAGGGATGTAACACGCAGGTCAGTGGGGGTTGCTTCAAAACAGTGTTTGGCCTACAGTTATCTTTCTATAATGTGTCAGTTAGTCCAAAAGAAACCTACCTCAGGTGGGACCTAGTCCTTAAAAATCAACAAACTATAAAATATGTGGACATTACTTACCTTCACAATGTAAACTATTGGGATTTCTTCCAAAGCCAGATGAACAAGAACTTGTTGGTGGACTCGTGGCTGTTGTGGTTGTGAAATTGGTTGTGGTTCTTCTAGTGGTGATAGAGGTGCAAATATAGGAGCCTTCTGTGTTAGAGCATTCCTCCCCATTTTCACAAGGTGATTCAAGACATTCATTGATGTCTACACACACAGCAGCATCTCTGAAAGCACAAATTGAGAAGTATATTAAAGCAGGATAAATATTACTACAGTACAGTTTTAAAATCTTAAAACTGGTGTTAAAATCGTGTGATCATGTGATGCATGATGTGCCCAGAATGTATCAGCACATGTTACATGTCCCATTTTAAGGGTTAACATCAACATGATGTTAAAATTGGACAACTAAGTAATACTCTCAACAGACCACCATTTCTTGACAGTCTGACATGGCTTTTGTCCCAATGATTCTAGATATTAAAGAGATCTCACAGATGTTGGAGAAAGACAACAAAATCTCTTCACCACCACAGTAAACAATCACGTGAGGCTAGAACGTTCTGTGACATGTTGGATGGTTTCTCAAGAATAATCTTAAATTGGTGGGTGCTTGAAAATTCCACCTTCTTGAGAATTTTAGTTTGTCAAGTGGGAGGTATTAAATAGTTTACTAAACTTAAAAAAAGTATACTTCTATGGAAGAAAACTAATGCAAGTGAAAACTGTACACTCACAAAGGATCATATCTGAAGCCATCTTGACATTCTACTCGACACTCAAAGGCTCCTTCTGTATTAAAACAGATCTGACCCGGGAGACAGCTAGCAACGCCAGCAGTACATTCATCCACATCTGCATAATACAGGAGAAAAAATTACATAACAGGTATATAATAGTACTGTACTGACAATGCATTTTGTTCCAATGAAGGAAATTAATTGAGGCACTTCAAGGCGACATAGTGAGAAGATAATCATGAACTGTGGCCAACCCTCCCAAAGGCTTCATGCAAGTATAATTTTTCTAACTGTATACCCTGTAGTATTTACTATTTCAAGAGTAGATCCTGCTTAACACAAGAGTGGAACAAAGAAGTGCCTGTATATTAGTCTCTGTATTTCACTAAGAAATATATGGGATGAGATGGGACTGGAGCCCCCAAATTTCTTTAAGACATTTATTTCACCTGATCAGACTCAATGCCACATCACCATGGTGCCAGTCTAACTCGCCATACCACACCATGCATCTCACACTCAGCCTGCATCTATGCAACCCCCTCATGACAAATCAAACAAATAAAAGTCTCGTGAGATTTCTTGGTGCTTGGAGTGGTAGAAGAGGCACTTGGAGGTGGAATAGGCATCTTGGAACTAGCAACTGTTACATGAGGTTGAAAGTTTTGGAGAATGCAGTCAGTGTCTACACAGCACAGCAGTTGAGCAAAACAAAGCAAGCAAGCATGGCTGTCCTTTGGCTAGAAGCCTGTGCTGCCACTTAGTGAGAAGCAGAGGAAACTTTTGCTTGGCATCAGTTGATGGTGGCCCATTTGAAAGTATTTAACCCTTCTAGGGTTATACCATGTAATAAAAAGGTTTGACCACACAATAAAGAAAAATAAGAATAATTTGGGGTGCCCAAAATAAAGGTAGTAAAAATATTGAAAATGAAATAAGGATAGTGTACTGCACAAGGTATACATTTTCCATACCAAGTGAATTGAACACCATTTGACCAGTCAAGAGAACATTCACATGCAACCAGAATTTTTTATTAACTAAACTGGTCATACACTAATTAGGCTGGTAAAGGTGGGATTTCTATATACAGTAGAATTCTAGTTATCCAATTATCCGGGCAACCGGTAGATTCAACTAACCAGCGCCAAAAAGGAAAGAATAATAATAATAAAAATTCCTCCAAAATCAACAAACATAAGTTTGAAAACTGCATGCAACAGTGATGAGCTGCCATATTTATTGCTATGATACACAATAAAATAAACACAGCATTCCATAAAATATAATAGCACATAATTAATGTAACAAAATATAGCTCCTTCCACACTCAAACCATCCTCTGTGTTGTGACCCATTTCAGCCAAGCAGTCAACCAGTTGACTCCTAGACGTGTGGTTGCCACTTTACGCTGTGTGTATGCCATGACGTCACATCGAGAGGGAGAGCAACTACACAGTATGTGTGTGTGTGTGTGTGTGTGTGTGTGTGCACTACTGATTCGGGTTAGGCAAGAAAAAGCCTAAAAGAATATAAAAATTATATAAATATTCTGTATTATCAGTACCTTTACATTCTCCAGTAGTTGGATCTGGAACATACCCAGCAGAACAGCGACGACGGAGCCGACATATGTAGCTTCCGAGGGTATTCATGCACCTCTCTGTTACCGAGCAGTCATCCAGACCAGTGCTACACTCATCAATATCTGACAAAGCATATAAATGAGGAGCAGTGGTAATTAATTTCCAACATTCCTTGATAACTAATTTCCAAATAGAACTCCAAGATTCAACTATATTTTAATTTTAAAGATGCATTTTATTAGTTTAAAAAGGTATGGAAATATTGTCAATTTAAAAATGTATGAAAATATCACAAATGAAGCACCATCAGATAATGCTCCTGCTACTTACAGTGCCTAGTTGAAAGAATGTATAAAAGTCAATCAGCTGTGAACAAGACAGGATTAAAAATCATTGGAAAAATTCAATCAGCTCTGTGAGACCATGGGAAATGTTTGCAGATCAAACACAACAGAGGATGCATTAAATTTCAAAGATATGAAATATACAGGGTAGTTAAGAAATTTTTTAAATACCACTTACCAAGGCACTGATTGGTATTAAGATCAAAACCAAAACCTTCAGGACATTCTTGAACAGGGGGCTGGAAGGTAGCACGGGTAAGAATTTCGTAACTGTTCCTTTCAACTTCAACTTCATTGATGCTTATGGCTTCACATCGATATTTGCCAATCTCATTAATGCATATCTCATTATCTGACTGGCAGGTGTGCAGACCTTCAACACATTCGTCAACATCTGTATGAAATTGCACTTGCTAGTTTCTTGAATCGAATGTGTATTTCAAGTTGTAAATACAATACAATATTATAACATTTTAATCCTCTCCTTGACTGATGAAACTGGCTCATCTTAGGCATAGCCATAAAAATTTGAATCACACAGACAACAAATGTTCGTAAACAACTTGTTGATGATCCTACAGCTATTTTAAACTAAAAATAGGTTTATTAAGCAAAAACATTTAAACCCAATTTTAGATGAAGCAGCTAGCAATAACAGCCAGCGAGTGAATGATACAACTTGTGTTTTCTGCCAGTGAAAGGGTGAGATTTGTCAAACTGTTGATATAATGTATAAAGTGAAAATGTTAACCAAAATGATGAAATGGGAAGCTGTGTTAAATAGATGCTTATAAAACTTAAACAAATGCTTTGAAACAACATATGTTAATACAATTGATATGCATTAAATTCAATGTTGTAATTTTAACTAAGATATAAATAAAGATTCTGCTAGACGACATATATAAATATTTCCAAATTAACATGGTTTCAACATTTGTATAAAGCTACACATTTGAGACTGAATTTTAATTAGACCACAATAAGCTACAGCTTAAAAAGGCAAAGACAATTAATAGATAAACTTAAATGAATTTGACAATAATACAATAAACATTTATCAAAAAGAAAAAATCATTGTCTTTTATCATAATGTCCGAGTAATATGTTGACTCTGTTCCTCATAACACCAGATTAATAACCACATTTAATATTTTTCTAGATGTCTTTGCACCCAGGTTGATTACAAAGTGTTAACAAATATCAGAAGACTTCTTTTTATCAGTTTCTTTTATAGGATTGTGATAAACATGTTGACCGCACACATGCAATTTTCAGTTCTAAGTTACAAAAGCAGTGACAACTTAAAAGTGTCACAAGAAAAGCTATAATTTATGCGACTCTTTCAAGGCACCATGAGCCAGCCAGGCACATCATGCAAGGAGGCGGCACCTAACCTTCACAACCCGAGGCTGTGCCGTTGGAGGGTTTATATCCAGCAGGGCAGAAGGCGCGAGGTAGCTCATGACACAAGTAGGATCCTGCTGTGTTGTGACACTCCCATCCAGCATCACAGGGTAGTTCCACACACTCATCCATGTCTGTGGCAGGCTGGAGGTTACCTACGCCTGCTTTACATCTGAATTAGTGGTTATTCCCTAAACATAACACCTGAAAACTCTTTAGAGACGTCATTGTACTAATTACAAAAAAAGCATGTGAATACCAAATGCATATGCCTAGACAAGATGACTAGTCAACTAATCCAATACTGGGTATGGTGTATGTTTTGTCAGGCCATTTTATAAATAACTTATACACTATGCTCTGATTTTACAAAAGTTACAGCAAGAGCCAAACTGGAGTTAAACCACAAGATATGTCTTTTGGTGAACATCCTTTAATCTGATTACCTTCTGTATGGTTGACAGAAAATGAAAAGAATTACACAAGATGGTAAATAAGTTTTAACTTATCTAAGCTTCCAGCCAGAAATAGTAAGGTGATGGTTTCTAAAATGAAAAAAAACCTGTAGATGTCACCATCATATGAAATAATCATATAGATTTTGATGAACTCAAAGATAGAGATGGGTTCCAAATTGCAGGAGGAGGTTACAGAACTTAAGACCTTGGATCAAAACTGGACAAAAACAGCATAAAAAATTAAAATAAGGACTACCGGTAAGTAATAGTTGAAAAAATAAATGACAAAGAGAGAATTTCCATTACAGTGAACCCTCACTTTACGCAGTCAATTGAACCCATGGAGACCCGCGTAAAGCGAGAAAAGCGTAAAGTGAACATCATAACGTATGGGATTAAATGAAATTAGAGACCGGCTGACCCCCAAACTCCACTTTTTCCGACACAATACCTATGTTCTAGTAAAAATAACATCTTAATTTTATGATGGTACATGCACACAATTAATACTTAAGAGAAATAGAGAAATACAGTCGCCAAGTTAATGTCCATCCAAATAATGGACTCGACTCCCTACCCCTCTTCTCACACTACACTCGCTGGCTCTTCCCTCTCTGAGAAATTTTTGGGGGAAAACCACTAGATTTTACGGTATAGTAATAAATAATACCTCAAACTAAAGTTAGGATAATATAATTGACATTGCTGGATTCCTTGTAAGACCAGGAATATTTTGAATATAAATATCATATATTTTGCACAAAAGATAACATATTTACTCAGAGTAAACAAAATACTTACATTAGATCTAAAATTTGTATGTCTAATGCAAAATCTATGATGTTTATATTCAAAATGATCATCAAATTGTAAGAATTCCAGCAATGTAAATTATATTCTGGCCGGATAATTTGTATGAATTTTATGAAATGTGAGCATCCCGGGTTCTGGCAGGGTACCGCGTAAACGTGGAAACGCGGAATGTGGGACCGCGTAAAGTGAGGGTTGACTGTATATGTCTAAAGGAAAGAACAAGTGACCTGTACTGTGAGGTTACCCACCTAAACAATCTCATAACAAAGTCTGCCTTGTCCAAGGGGCCAAGTATTTTCTGAAGCTGTGACTTTGATCGAGTAGTTGCTTTGAAAGCCAGATAGCACTGAATCAGAGCATGTTTTATAAACCCTGTTTCCAGTAGGTGAGTAGCGACTTAAGCAGTCTTAGCAATGATCCATATGGACAATTGCCCTTGCCTTTGAATGCAAATGACCTCTTGGGCAAAGCAGGTTGTGCCAGGGAGTTGTTCCAGCGGGTGATCTTGCATGGCACTAGCCCAATGATCCACAAGCCACATAAAAAAGGTAAGGCGGCAAGTTGTGCTGGAATTATTAGCTGTACGGTACTCAACTTTCTTGTTTCATTCACATTAGAAAACTAACAAAAGCTTAACAGGCTACATGTTGTCAATTTTGTTATATTATTCATAATCAGGTTTGAAATACTGTACAATACTAAAATGAATCATTAAAGGAATAATGTTCAGATAAACAACTGATATTTGACTCAGACTTACAAAGTATAATCCCATCATCCCCAAAAATATTATGATTTTGGTAGGTGCAATTTGTATAGAGTTTTCACACAAACCGTACGTATTATACAGTATATCAATCTTAATTCATACTCACCAACACAAGTTCGGAGGGCATGGCTAAATTGAAAGCCTTCATCACATTTTATGTCACACTCATAAGCTCCAGCAGTGTTCCTGCAGGTCTCCTCTTCTGGGTCACAACCATGAAGTTCTTCTGAGCACTCATCCACATCTGTTTGGAGGAGACTAAGGGCTTGGGCAACTTGGAAAAGGCAAAACTGACAGCCCAACTGGAGCAGTAGTAGGTAATTAGAAAAAGCACTTTGTACAGAGAGAAATACCACATTCTACACATAATAAACCACAGGATAACTTTGTGTACAAACAAATTACTCCCCTGTACTGTATCTCAAAGGTAAAAAAAGCCGCAAAACCCTCCTCCCTCACAATTGCAGTGAAAATCCAAAAAACATTGAAGCTGCTTCGAGAATATGATTTAGAGTACGTACTGTTATAAATATTCTTTTGTAGAATTTCTAAATTGAAAGAGAAAAATATAAATATCTGTACAATACCTGTACTTATACTGGCATACAAAATAAACTAAACAGGTAAAACTAATATAGTATACACAATAACAAGTAAACTACAATGACAGGAAAACTACGCTCCCTAAAGACTTTTTAATATTGACAGATTTTCTATCATAGATAAGCACCCAGGGACAAACTTAATGTAGGTATGATAAAATTATATTCATTCCACAAAAAATAAGACAATTCTATATCATCCAATAAACCAACACAGTACATCTCTAACCCCTTGAAGGCAATTTAAGAAAATAAGCCAATGTTCCATCACAAGACCTAACCCCACACTCCTTACCTTTGGATCAATATCAGTGATGTCTTCCCATCCTCAGTTATTAGTCATTGTCAATATTAAACAAATGTGAAAAATTTATTTATATTTTATTGTAATCAATATCTTTTACACCTCAATTGCCTAATATTCTAACCAGCTACAAATTCCATACACTTCGCTCAATGTAATACCTACCTGTTGCCAGTATATCATTATTGCTGGTGTTTTTGTAGGTGATAGGCTATACTGTACTGCTTTGTTAAAGAAAATCATACCTACGCATGTCTGCTGGTGAGAGCTATACTTGTAACCAGCTATACAGTCATTGGGGCCTCCCTTTGGCTGGCAAGTAAATGCTCCCTGAGTGTTAACACAGAAATGAGTTGTCCAGTTACAATTATTAGATCCATCCAAGCACTCATCAATATCTGTGAGATAAAAAAACAAACATATAGAATAAGTTTTACAGTACAGTACTGTACTTGAAAAGATTTATAAAAAAAAATATGATTACATGTCGTAACTATCTGATTAGTTTGAAAATCCATTCAAAATTAATAGTATTGATATATATACAAAAAGCAGTGTGACTATACTGTACAAGAATTAAAATTAACACCCAAGCTTTATACTGTATATAAAACCAGACAGAAGACAAACCCAAGCAGGACTGTAGGTTTGAGTCAAATGCAAACCCAGGCGGGCAATCAGCTGCTAGAATCTGTGTACAAGTGTAAGAACCAATGGTATTTTGACAGATGGCTCCTCGGCCACACAAGCCTGATGTCACCTCACATTCATCAACATCTGAAAGAAAAGGATCAATAAATATTAAGTAATAAAATGAAGATGAAACACCACTTCAATTTTGACATTTGAACTCAAAAACAGAATTGATTTTACAGTAAGTCAACTGTTAACTAGATTATCAGTCTTTATTGATTTAGAAAGAACTGCATTCTCAAATCCTACTTTATGACTGAGGGTAGAGCTGAGTGACCCCTGATGAGCAGTACAAAGAATCCCCCATAACCTTGTACTGTAATGGTATAGTCATCATGAGGCACGAAGTAATCAGATGCAGTACTGTATAAGCTATCTGGGTAAATACATCTTGCAGGAATGAGGTTGTAACTAAGAATGATTGTGTTTAGGAATCTCACTGAATGTGTAGGATGTGAATGTGGTGGTGACCATGGATGATGTGTTCATCAATGCTTCATTGGGCCTTTGACAAAAATTTTTCATGTTTTCTCAGAATAATGTATCACTTTTATAATAATAAAACTCTTTACAAAGAAATTCTCAATGTAAAAAAAAAAAAAAGCTAAAATAACTCAAGGAAGGAAGGAAGGAAGGAAGGAGGGGGCTATACAGGTCAAAAAACTTTATTCTAAATAAAATGTATACCTAAAAAATGCAAGTAACAAGTGAATGAGTGATGTACATTATGTTCCTTCCAAAATCTTTAAGGTGGACATGAGTGACAACTATGCTACATAAATATAAAAAAAATTGCAGATTAACTTAACATCTTAACTTAATGTAAATATTTGTATTCCACTACAACTCAGATTTCATTTCAATCTCAGCTGTTTTTCAGTTACTGAACAGAAATTATATTTTGTACAGAAGGAAAGCAGAGTGTATGGTACAGCGGTAAAAAGCATGTCTCTTTCTATTGTGTCCCACGTTTGATCCCAGGCCTGGGTCAGATGTGAGAAGGGTGAAATCCAGTGTGAAAATCAAAGTGGGTCTCATAAGCCTGAGAGCCTGTTAAGGGCAGGATGGACACAACTAGCTATACTAAACACATGGAAGCAGTGTGGCTGGCACTACACACAACCACCCTCACTTCCTCAAGTGTAATATTAGGTAGCCATTTACAGCTGGGTGGACTGGAAGTGTCCTGGGATCAAGCCAGCAAAATTTGGGACAAGAGAAAGGTGCTGTTTTCACTCAGCCACCACACCTCTCTCAGATTACTTTATGTTGAAATGTGACATATTTTCAATGTTCCACTCACTTTAGAAAAGTTAAGATAATACAAGGTCACTGATCACTCTGAGGTAAATTTAGTTGATATTTTTACTTAAATATCACTTGACTCATCATACCTAAATGATGGGCCCTCAGAGGCAAGAGTATAGCAAGAAAGACCCTCAGACAGACACACCAAATCAAAATCAGACCAATAACAAAGACAAATACAGTACACAGTTTCACATTGAGCCAAACTGTATCTATTTAGTCACTGTTTTTAAATGGACAAGCTACCATAAACTCTTGGAGACATTATTTTAAAATTTTTATCCAAAAATGGAAGTTCTTTGTAAGATAAATAGGTTTTAGCCCCTAGGCTTCGGTTCATGTCATGAGATGTGTGCTTACAGAGCTTCTGCTCACGTCATATGACATTCTGTAATTTCACTGTACTGTTTCAATTGCCACTTCACTCTCATTCTCTTTTTTACTTTACTTTTATCCTCTTCACTGATCGGCTCGTTAGCCGCTTGGGCGATCGGTTATGTCTCTATGTCTCTTGATTACTCGACTCTTCCTAGCTCCTATGATGCTGTACCAATCTGTGGTAAGGACATGTACAGTATTTCTTTACTGTTTATATCATGCATGACCAGTTTCTAAGCTTAAAATTGTTTATTATTTGTTTTTAAAATTGTCCCAAATATACCCACATGGGCATATGTTAACTGTAGCCTAGTGCCAAGAAGCTAAACATCTAAATAGTAGTAGTAATGACGGTCCTGATACCATAACAGAAAATATGTGTGTTAGTGTATCAGAGATACTTTTGGTCACTACTGTTTACACTATTACTGTCCTGTACAGGTATCTCAGATTACAACACACCAATTTGGGGTTGCATACGACTAGCCATTTCTCAGCAACCAAAATGGCATGACACTCTCTGTGGGGATACCTCCATTCTCATCCTTTCTACAGCATTATGAGCACTAAGAGATAGAGTATTTAAGGGTTTACAGACTGGTCCACTTGGTGTGTAAAAACCTCTCCAATACAAAGTATTTACAAATTCTTGTTTTATATTTGAGAAATCACAGGGCACCAAGTTATAACTCCCCCAAAAATACAGAAATACAGAATATACTTATACTGTTATACTGTACCTTTAATGCCTTATTCCCATCCAATGACTGAGGATTTGCCTCCTGTAAAATCTTACTCATACATTTCAGCCACCAACCATTCCCAGATCTCCACATTATAGACGGACACAACACCCTAGTCTCCGGAGTAAACATTTTGGCCTAACATACCTATGACATTTACCAAGCATACTAATGGTATGAAAATCTGATTCGAATTCTGAGTACTCAAAACAAAAGTTAATCAATCCTACATGTTGCCATTTGGTTGAAATGATAAGAATATGTATATAAAAAAAGTGTGTGAGAGAGAGGATTTATTCTGCAATCATGTACTGTACTGTACAGTATATTCAGTAAAAGTGAGGAAAGGAGACTGGAAAAAAGACAATATGAATACTGTATAGGAAATAGGAGTAAATGTAAAAATATACAGTACATTTATAAAAATTAGCAGGAGTTCAAGAAAAAGAGGCAGACCACAGGAGGGTAAACAAAGTGAATGTGGCTACAGCAAAGAAATACTGGTTGAAGAAAGGGCAGCTCAATTACTTTTTATGGTATGTAGGAAGTCCATAGGTAATGAAGTCCAAAAGGTCAGCTGTATAAAATAAATACCCCATTAACTCACCATCACAAACCATCGTATCCAGATTAAAATTGTATCCTGGTGGACATCGACCCTGAGTGTGCGTAGCATCCAGATAGCTCTGATCTGGTCGAGCACCAGGGAAACCTTGCACACCTAAGGCTCCTCCAAAGTTGATGAGTCCTGATGATCCTTGATCTACTTCATTGCTGATATCATAACCTGATGCTCTCTGAGTTCCTACTGTTCTGGCATCCCCAGCGAGACCACCAGAGGACCCAACACTGGGAGTCCGGTGCTGTGTGGAACCCGGAGAGGACAAGGAGCCATCGGCATTGATACAGGAATAGGAGCCAACCTGGTTGTAGCACACCTGTTCTCCAGGGACACAGTTATGCACACCAGAGCTGCATTCATCCACATCTGCCACATTTATAAATACTGTACTGTACATAAAATAAACTCTTATCTTCCCTCAAAGATACTTAATGTGTTACCAATTGGTTTACAACCAAGATACATCTACAATAAGCGGCTTAATTACTATTACTCTACAACTTAATACACTACCACATAAAAGAGAGCCTTTACATTCATTACCAAAGGCATTAAAAAAAATCATAAATAAACACAAATAAACAAAAGTACAAAGCACTGTACAGGTACTAATCCCAGTCTACAAGCTCCACATACTAAGCCCCAACTCTTTGCTATTACTCCCCACTTTAAAGCACAAGACTACATAGTCTACTAAAAATGACAACTGTATACAAAATTTCACACCACTTTACCCTTGCAAGATCTCTGATCAAGAGCTAATGTGAATCCTGTGTTGCATGAACACTCAATAGATATGCCTGTGTCCTGGCAGATGTGAGCACATGGGTTGTTCAGATGGCACCTAAAAAGCAGTAAAGCAAATTTATTAGCTTTACTTCCCATGTCATAATGTGCTGTAAAGATTTGGTGAACTAATAATATAACTACAATACAGTATAGCAATCTATGAAATAGCTGTTACCCCTGACTGAGTAATGAATAATAAACCCTGATATCAATGACCTTGCAACATTATTATTTAAAATTAAAATCCAGAACTTATGTTTCAAGCTTAATTGCAATGAGCTAATTAAAACTTCAGATATTGTGTGGAAATCATTGATCTACGGGTGGACAAACAGACAGCACCTTGCACCTCGACTAAATCTCCTCAGCTGTTTTTGGTTCAGGAAGGTGAAAAAAAGTGTCATAAAAATTATGACTGACTATACAATTAAGATCTTCAAATTTATGTGTTGTACACAGATTTCTCCAAGGCAACTGACAAAGTTTCACATAAAAGATTAACCTTAACCACTTGTGTAAGGATGAATAAAACGGTCTGGTGTGCCAAATAAAAGATTAAAAGTAGCATCCCTGTAGTTAAGGGGTTAAGGATCTGATCCCATGGCATCACTAACAAAATGTTGGAGTGGTTTAAAATAAATAGTTCTTCTAAATAGAGCACAATTAGACTGGAAACAAACTGAAAGGAGTATCACAAGGATCCATCTTGACTGTAATCTATGGCAGTACTGTTGTATTGATTTCAGTAACTCAAGGAGCACCGTTAAATCTTTGGAATATATACAGATTTCCAAAGGGGTAACATATGAAAAAAACTCTACACTTCACACACGATATTTTCCTGTCATTTTCAGACAATATAAAGAACCTAAGAGCCACAGGTGTCCTCCAGCAACCTTCTAATAAATACATCAGCTGCTAGGTAAATATGGTAAATACAATGAACTGTTAATATCAAATGAAATCCATACAAAAAGTACTATAATATGCCCAATTTTGATTGCTTCATGGGTGCCACATCTTTATTTAAACCAATACCGTCTTCTCAAAACAAAAACTACCTTTGAAAGAACAAGAACATAAATAAATTTCCGAAATTTTCACATGCAACAAAATTACATATGATGCCAAGGTATATGCCCTTAAATGGTGACCTGTGGTGTGATGGACAGCATGCTCACCTCGCAAAAAAGTGGACCCGGGTTCGATCCCTTGGCAGGGTGAAACTATGGATAAGTTTCTTTATGCTATTTGCCTTTGTCTACCCAGCAGTAATTGGGGACCTGACTGTTAATCGATTTGCGGAACGTTTTCCGGGGTAATGGTTACCCAGTGCAGTTGGCGAGTTGTCTGGTCTTCTCGGACTGTTTCTTGACATTGGGTCATGCAACTCGTTAACTCAGGGTGTAGTTGTTGAGTTGGCGACAGCTTCTACACCTTAAATAAATTCACGCCTAGGTGGCCCTAGGGCCGGCCATCCTCGATCTCGAGGGGCATCCATTAAATATGCCCTTAAAATTAGAACAAGTCAGACAAGTGACTGTTAAAGTAATGTGCAGCAATAGGCACTTTTATGGTTATATTTGGAATAATTGTACAACCTGTACTCATAGCAAACTTTCTCATCTCATTTATTTACTCAAAAAGTGAATCTGCCAGTAAACTATGTGCCTTTACTTAAAAGGACAGAGAGGGTGTTTAGTAGCCACCTCCTCACAAGTCACTTATACTTCATGCTCTCATGGCATGTAAGTGCATGTACTGTAGAACCCTGAAGTTATTTTAAATTAATAACTGACAACATTGGCTTTGACTTACCTATCAGTGACAGCATCCTGTACACAAGTCTTGCCATCAATGGAGAGTGTAAACCCAGCACGGCACTGGCACCGGTATGATCCTGGAGTTGGTACACATACATGTGCACAAAGCTTACCAGGAAACCTGGCACACAAGTCATCAGATTCTATTATGGAAAGAGAAAAGATTACAGTAACATATTCAGTAGCTATTACAAGCTCAGATCATAACTATGTTAACATTACTAACTGACTCAGTTATCAGTTAATGATGTAAAGCCATAGAAGAAAAAATACGAAGGTGGAATAAAATATGAAACTACTGTACAGTAAATCGAACTAGGTTCCAAAAATATTTTATTTTAGTAATATGAAGACCTGCAGTAATATTAAATGTTTTAGTGAGATGACTGGGGTTGGGGACAAGTGTAATCCTTGTTCACAGACTTTGTACACCTATTCAAAGGTCTGGATGGCATAGAAACAACTCAAAATTTACAACCAGATCCTATCAGGTAATTAATTAAATTCAGGTTTCAAAATCTGTGTACTTCACTTGCAGAGATCAGATTTACACAAGTCACAATACCTGAAACTGAGACGAGGCCAGGGTAAAGGTTACTGCCAAGGTTACTAGCAGTCACTGCCTGGCTACCTGTCAATAAAAATTGGTCAGTATAAACACGTTTACAGTCTTCATTGTCTGTAAAAGAAGTCAGGGATGGTTACCTATGAATAAACACAAAGGACTGAAGAATGACACATATTTTTGGTGTGTTATAAGGTAAAGAGACGAGTCATCCATTTTCTCCCCTCACCTTAACACTCCCTCACTAAGCCTACATCGCCCACAGAGATATCTGCAGTACATTCTAGTCTTTGACTTTGTCGTGTTTCGAGCACTAGTGAATTCTTTAGAAGAGCTGACATTTTTGAGAAACAAAAGACCAACTATTATTACAGTATTATTACTATTATTTATTGTTATTAAAGAGTCAAGCCCTTCTTTCTTATATCGGCTGAGAGTCTATCAAATTTTTTTATAAAAGCATAAGTCCACTCAAAACAGATACGTTGAGTACATTTCATAAACTAATAACAAAAGATAAAAGGAGGGGGGGGGGGGCGGAGTCTTTACTAAGTAGTGTGGAACACTGAAATAAATGGTATCAGCATCCTAGTCTCAAGCAAACCATTTTTATGGCAGGATAAACATTGAACTAGTGACACTGTTACAAGGTATTGTAAATTACTGTACTGCATTCATCACTGGTGAGTGTCTACTTCATCATAAAAAAAATAAAAATAAATACAAATAAAAAAATGACCATCTGTGTTCCCGCTGTGGAAACCTTACCATGCCAATATTATAATTTTGCATTAGTTGGGCCAAAAGCTTAATATGTGGATCTGTCACAAAATTAATCAAATCAACCAAGTTTGGTACAAATACACAAGACCTGTTCTTCAGTTATTAATGGGACACAGACACTAGTAGACAAGACCAAAAACAGTTGTGGGTGGGAAAAAAAACGGGGGGGGAGAAGAATATCACAATACCAAAAGATATGATACTAAAAATTGCACGCAAAACCTGAAATCATTGGTCAAAATAGTTGTAAATGTATCATCTGGAAAAGATAACTCCCTTGAAGGTGCATGAAAGAGGGTTTACACCACTAAAAAATTAAGAATTGGCAGACTGCATTAACACTCGGGATCATACATGCATAATTGCCGCTTTGATTTAATGTATACGAAACTTTTGCCTTGCGATCAGACATGCCAGTATGGCGTTTATTTAATTTTCTCTAAAAAATTCTGGTCGAATTACTTGAAATTTTAACGCCACTTTTATCACGCCACTCTTGCGATGAACCAAACCTTAAGTCTATGTGGCAACCCCTCAAGGTGAGTTGGAGCATGTGGTACAAGACAACTAATGCCAGTAATGCCTCTGCCTCAATAAGCAGTGAGTGTTGGTCCCAGGTGCGATTTAAAAATGGCCACCTTGGTGCTTGCGCCACTATCTCAAGATATTTATCTCTTACAACCTCGATATTTATTCTTAGGAAGTGATAAAGTGATGTGTATTGAAATATTTGTTAGGAAATATATTTGAATTCATGAGACGTTGGTGAAATGGCTACTCACAATACGGTCACATATATCACACAAAAGCATGGCGTAATATATAGGTCTAGCTTGGAAAAATAATAAGTGATAGTGAACTATAGTGCAGTAGAGGCATGCGTATGGGTATGGTGAATTATAATGAATATAACTGTATTGTGCTTATTTGATACATATTCGTTACGCCATTGCCGTTGTCTTGCATATGCCAAGGACTACCTCATCTGAGTGTTAAGTGGAAATATTATTGCCAAAAGTTTACATAGGAAGGCATCATTTGAATAAATATATGACAAATCTTAGCCACGAATAGCGCTCGGGGGAAAAAAAAAATCCGCAATTTCTGGTAATTTTGCAGGCTCAAAAGTTGTCCTGTGACAGGCTCGTTAAATAAATTTCAAGCAATCCTGAGTGTTAAGCCAGTACATGTACCAATTTCAGTCAAGGGACTGTATCACAATTACATGGGATTCCTAATTCAACTCCAAATTTTGTTTACACACTTAGATATTGCTAGCTACACACTGTAGTTATCAAACTTACCAATATCTGTGAAGTCAGGAGAAGGGTTCCCAGGTGATGCATGGCTACAGCACTGTAAGTAGGCATTATCCCATGGGAACCCAAAATTGAACCTCATACTGCAGCCCATACCCATGCTGCCACTGAATAAGCCCAGTTTACATCCTTGACAACAATCCTGAAATAAGTACTGTACTGTACAATATATATTGTATAGTGTTTATTAACCCCTTCACTATATGGATGCCACTTTTAATAATTTATTTGGCTAAAGCCAACTGATTTTATTCAGCAGAGACAGGACCCAATAAAAACAAGTGGTTAATAATGATAATATTAATAATAATAACAATAATAATAACAGGCTGTGCAAATTATGTGGGACATTTACAGATATCTTTTTTACTTGCCCTGACAATTTTTTGGATGTAATTTGCTTGCCCAGACTTTTTTATGGAAAAAAGTTAAATTACACTCTTAAAATATTCAAACCACCACTGTATCACCCTCTTCCACCAGTGATCTTGATGATCCACCTATGCTTCAGCAAACAGATGTCTCCCTATGTACAGTGCACCACTTCATCAAGCTCCAGACTTACACATACAAATGTAAGTACAGGTACTCCTCGAATTACGACCACCCGGACATACGACAGCCCCAGTCGTACCAAAATTTTTTCAAATTACGTATTTTCGAGTCCCGACGTTAGTGATTGCGTTGTGTATTGACAAAATTTTCATTTGTAATTCCCTTTAAAATGGCGGCAAGCTGAAAAGTGAGAGTTTTATGGTACTGAGAAGAAAAAGAGGCACCCATTTTAGATTTTCTATGAATTATTTTCGCATTTTCAACTTACGACCAATTCGACTTATGACCTGGATTTGGGTCCCTAACCCCATCGTAAGTCGGGGACTGCCTGTTCTGTACAGTATTGTGACTTAAGTTTCTCATACACAGTACAGGTATAGGTATATATTAGTGCACTATGGTAGTATATAAGTTGCTATTCACGGTGTTGCCAATTCGCACCATTTCTTGGAACCTAACACTCGCAAATGGTAAGGGTTTACTGTACTATATTCTTAAAATTCTCCCATAAATATACAGGATATTTGACTTAATTCTATAAACTGTCAATTATAAATTCGAACTAATCTTTCAAATTATCATTTTTATTTACATTCAATAATTTCATTCACTGTAATCACTCCAGATGAAATTAGTATGGTTCAAGACAACCATACCATGAGCAAATGAGAGTCAATTAGAATTTGTTAAGAAGTACATTAGGGTAACTGAGACAATAAGTCTCAGTCATTAAGTCAGTCAAATTACAATTCATACTGTGACAGTAACTGATAGACCTTTAAAACAGAACAATATAGTACAGTACCTGGAAGTACTCCCCGCCCTGCATACTGTTGGTGACACAGTCCTGGCCAACTTGAGCTGCTTGCTTCCCTTTCTGGCACTGTTCATCTCTATTTACACAAAACAAAATAAAATATATCAGCACATATCAGCCCCAAATCATAAACAGTAAACACATACTTTTTTTTTTACGTTTATCCTCTTCGCCACTGGTGGCCCTCCTTTGGACATTTTCAATCAACTGACAGTCCCTAGTTTAGGAGATAGACTTTCTCACAAGGAGCCCAATCATAGATTCTGAATGGACTAGTAATGCAAGCGAGTTGTTTAAATTCACTTTTTTGTCAACTTGTCCAAGCTCTTATGTACATAAGCATTTAAGCTGCTGTACTCAGTAGCCTAGTACTTTGTGTAAAGAACATTTTAAAATTATATTTTACTTAATTTGAGATAACTACAACTATACAGTATTTACACTTGTTGTGTTACTTTTCATGACAGGGTCAACCCTTTCACGTACAGTATGCATGTCAACCCTTCTTTGAGGGCACTGAGAAAAGTTGACCTAAGGAAGGTCAAGAGGAGAAATATTTAATGCTCCCTTCTTCCATTTAATCTGGCTGCAGTTACTTGAGTTACCATAAATGAAGGACTGATCTTGATTCCAAAAAATGTATGTAAGCTAGGATCAAACCCAGCACTCTCATGTGGATGACATATATGGTGCCACTGCACCATCCTCATTTCCAAGCCTCCCAACAGCCACCTGTTGCTGCCACCAGGTAATCATGGCTAACCCACACAAGCATGGAAAAATGACTGAAAAACAGTAATGATAATCATGATAACATAATTTGGGGAGAAAAGTTTTGTGACATTACATTGAAAACAGAACTAAATACAAGACACACACAAAACACATGTTGTTACTGCTATACTTCAGAAACATAAAAAGAATTTTGTCCTGGTAATTTCCCCAACACAAATTCTGTACATATACTGTACTGTACTGTATATCATCTAGAAGACACGACCTTAGTACTAGTTCACAGTAATATTCTTCAGTTTACCATGCAGAATCTTACCTAAAGTATCTGAGGCAGCAAATCCCAGCAGTGGTGATACAGACAGACTGGTGTTCTGAGGGAATCCCTGTGACGGGGGCAGGAAAGGAAGAGCACTGTTGAGCCTCCCTTGCCCAGTTGGCACCGTACGCACAGCACTTACCAAAAGTTGGCTCTAGGTCACCTGTACAGGAGGATATTATATTATTACTATTATTACAGGCCTAATATGTTGTTAATGCCCCCAGATAATGAACAAAATTTGTTCGATTACCAGTGTTAAAAAATTATTAAAAGCTGTTACAGCTAAGAGGCCTTAGTACTGTTACAAAAAAAAAGGTAAAAATAAGGTAGCTACTGTACTGTACCCCAATACTGTATGCCTTTTTGACAGTAATCAATCAAAATATTGATATATTCTCTGCCATTCCATTTCCAATTCAGAGGTTGGTGGTAAGAGGGAGCAGTAAAATCTTCATGCAAGTTTACATTAAGTCATCATAAGTATAAGCAATACAGGTACATATACAATTCAGCATAGATTGTATACAGTATTGTACTAAACATAGACAATGCAGGTACAGTACACAATACTGTTATGAATCCATTTTGCTGCTTACCAGCTTCCACTGCTGGTTACCAGTGACCTGTTCATATATACAGAAGCAGTAGATATATCTTAACTATTAATCTAATATGTTGAATAGCAGAACGATAGAATAAAGTAAGAAATTTTGTTTGGGAGTTATATATACGTATGTTGCATTTAATTTAGGTTATACTGCACAGTATTTTGTTAAAGTAATATTTATTAGTTACCTGAATAATATATAATTACTCCTGATTTAAATAATAGTCTTGCACAAGTCTACATTTCTTTGTTTGTGCATGCAACGTAACAGCTACCGTTGAATGTCAAATTACCTGCCATCGTCAGTTCCTTAACGATCCTGACCAGAGAAACACAACACTCGCTACCTTCAGTAAAAATCAGCGATCATGGAGGGGCTCACCAACTAAGCTCCACCTTTAATTCCTGATCTCCAGCCACATCAGCAAACCTTGAGTATGTATCAATTTGTATTGCAGGATATCCTAACTTTATACATACAGTAGTTTAATGTAATATAAACTCCAACATCAACACTTCAGGTAATCACCCATTTTGAGTGTTTATTTAATTTGTATAGCTTAATTTAAACATTTATTGTCCTGATATCAAGCAATTCAGTACAAATTGGTGCCATGACCAGGATTTTAGGCCTAAGTGTAACTTTATTATTTAACAGGAGTTATACATAATCGATGCTTCCTTTCCTGTGCTATTCCCTTTTTTTAATTTAGCAAATTTATTGACAAATTCTGAAGTACAGTTTGCCTATTCAGAGTAACTGTAATTCAGTCAGGAGGTCCTGACTTCTCTGCCATGCAACATGACTGATGCCAAAATGAAAAAACACAGGAAGGTGAGAGGAGGCTACAAAGAGAGCCTTACTAGGTTAGTAGCGGGTTCATTGAAGAAGTTAATGAACAAGTGAGTCCAGGACAACCAATTCACTACTGAGCCCATCATGGGATTAAGAAGTATGTAAGACTACACCTGTATGGATAGTCCATGATTGTTCAGCAAAGTCAGGACCCAATGAACTTAGTTTAAATGACTGTATACATACCGGTCCATCTTTAGTTTCAGATTTGGCACAGATATAGAGAAAGCTTTCTTAATGGTGGGGTTGCATGAAAAGGACTGTGATACAACACATTTTCTCTGGCCAATTGATCCCTTTGATATTAGTAGTCCTTATTTCATATACTGTATATAGATTTAAAGCCATTTTATTTGGAGCAACATATACTGTAGTCAATTCTTATTAAACATTACTATCCGTAAACACCTTACAGTTGTCGACGAAGATCCAGATTTGATACAAACGAGGTCTTTATATTGACAATTTGCAGGGAACAGGTAATGATTATAAGGCTTTGATCACACATGGCTGGAATTCTTTGAAGATCTTCTCAAAGGCGCATCTTTTCTCAAGAGAGCGGGTTACTTATTGTTCTGAATTTAGGGAATTTTTGTGCGTAAATGGCATAGCATCTTTAGAACAATTAAAGATGAAAGTCTTAGGTTTAATTTGGCTAACTGATTCAAATGTATTAACTTTTAATAGTAAGGTTAAGTTTCCTGAAATTGTAACTGAAAGGGAAACTTTATCTGTTACTGTAAGTACAGTATATTTGATCCTCTGGGATTCCTCCTTCCCGTAACCATTCGGGCTCAAAGGTTCGTACAAAATTTGAGGAGAATACACTGTGATTGGGATACCCTATTTTAGATGCATTACAAAATGACTGGCAAGAATTATATGAGGACATATTGGAAATTTTAAATATTTCTGTACCCCGCCAGGTCACTGTTTCTAAAGAAGTTACGATGCACACATTCAGTGATACTAGTACTGTGGCGTACGGTGCTGCTGCCTATATGACTAACGGAGGACTTAGTAGGTTAGTAATGGCTAAGGCCAAGGTAGCACCGATTAAACCATTAACTATTCATAGAATGGAATTAACAGCAGTTCTACTTGCAGCTCGTATGTCAGTATTTATTAAGGAGGCCTATGAATATGAGCTTATTGTGTTAAGCAACTTAAATTTGAACCGACAATCAGATTGCATTACATTGGTTGCACAGCCGTAGTTCATTACCTGTATATGTTCAGAATCGGGTGGACGAGATATTTTAGTTAGTCCCTGACGTTCACCTAAGATATGTGCCCTCCAAGGACAATCCTAGTGACCTCGCCACTCGAGGTATTAATGCTACTGCCCTCAAGAAATCCTCACTGTGGTGGGAAGGTCCATCATGGCTCCCTCACCAGAGTTTGTGGCCCGAAGTTATGTTATTTAATGGGGACCATGCTGGGATTTATGTCTTATTAAATTGGAATCAATATGATACTTACAATAAAGCCTTACATGTAATGGCCTGGATAATGATATTCTTACGGAAACTTAGGAGCAAAACTCATAAAGAGTATACGGTAAGGTTCATATTGTCACAGTATTCAGATTTGATTTTAATAAATACTTGTTCAGACGAATGTGTATCACCACCGCTCATTCCTTCTAACAATTGCCATCCCTGAAAATACACTTAATAACTCAAGTGCCAAACCTCTCGTGAATACCATGCTACCACTTTAATTGAAAGGTTAATTGTAGATATTATATTCTAAAGGAAAGCCTGGGTGGTGGCAGCTCTAAGATGTAAGTACATACAGTAATTACACGAATGTGGAAGAATAGAGAAAGATGTTATTCTCCCAGGTTAACCCATATAACAGAATATAACTACGTAAATCTGAGAATAAAAGTAAGAGGAAATAAACAAATAAGTAAGAGTACTTAAAGAAATTTAACAAATACTTGAGAAAATGAATTAGAAGTTTGAATTAGAAGTTAAAGTAAAGAAAAACTTAGAAACCACAAATAAAAGCGATACCAATTAGTAGGTAGTAGGCATGTACCAGGGAGGTACTACCGTCTGGGAAGATATTGGAAGCATAATGTGTTGTCTAATGGTAGACCCTGCTGCCATATGGCATCACGAAAATTGTGACCAAGTCCCAGGTTGCTGATCTGTCTTTCTGCCTCATTTACACACAACTGCAGGGTCTCAATTATTTCTCTTACATGACAACAAAACATACATATAGCGTTTCTCACTGTTGATTTTTTTTCATTCTTGTATTTCTTTGTATTTATTGTTATTATTATTATTATTATTATCACATTGTTATTATTATTATTACCAATAATATTTTATTTTACTTTCTATTATAAATTTTATTTACTATGAATTATTAATATTATTACATTTTCGTCCCCCGGGCCCCGATGTGGGTCAGTGACCTGTGCCCGGGTGGGCTAGTCCCCGTAAAAAAATACAAATAAATAAAAAATAAATAAAAAAAGTTATAGAAATCAAAATAAAGTGGCAACCCCAAACATTAAAAAGTTGCATTTTATGTTCATCACAGCAAATGATTCTCTTGTGTCCACTCATAACATTCATGTTTAAAATGTCGTTGGTGAAATGCTGTTTCTGCCTCCTTCATAATGGGAAATATTTTAGTGGCACTAAGTGAGTGGATCTTGTTTGAGTAGCGATAAATCCTCTGAGAATAATATGCAAAGAAGCTGAGACTTCAACAGAGAGACTTCATGTTGTGAGGCACAGGTAGTTCATGTAGAGGTTGGAGATGTTCAGGATCAGGTTGCATTTCACCATTTTCGACCATATAGCCAAAGGTACTGAGCTTGGTAGTTGAAAATACACATTTATCTTCCTTATAACATTTGATTTCTAAATCATCATAACTTACAAAATACTGGATGAATACTCTAAAGGTAAGGAGAGCCGTTATAGGACCCTTCTTCAGTTCATAAAATAAAAATGTGAGTGAACAGTCAAATGATGTCAAAAGCATAAATGGCATTTCCACGTTCCACTGGCATTAGCATGACTGCAGCGAGGTACTGTTTGCCATTTCTGATTCTTTGACATAAATTTCTGGAGAAACACAAATTCATAGAAACAAAGGTCGATGATAGTATACAGGATAGCATTAACGTGCCCTTTATCAAGATATCTAATGCAACATGTCCCATCCTTCTATGATGTTTCATTCCTAAGTTGTCATAAAATTGCATTTTTTTGAACTTTCAATGACTGACCTTGACCTTTGACCCCCAAAATTCAGTATAGTACTGTACAGTATACCCACTATAGATCATCCATGATGTTTGGTCAGATTTGGTACAAGTATGGGAGAAATATGTTTCATTGCAATATTGACACAGACATAGAGACTGGGTCATTCCAATACTGTACTCTACCATGCAAACCACATCAACGGGAAGAAAGTTTTTCACAGAACTTGAATTCAGTAATATTGTACTTTATCGCTAGAAATACAAACTTTAAATTTTATATAAATCCTCCATAAGTGTCACATCTGGCAGTCTATTGTGCAAATGGCAATGAAAGACCTTCGATTACTATTCATTAATATTATATGTAAATATCATATTTAATAATTTAATAGGAAAAAAAAAAAATTCTAGGATTCTTCAGCATGGGCATGTGTGTGCCTCACCCCCACCCTAGTTATGTAC